TATTCATCTCCAATATGAGATACCCCCTTACGTACTTCTTTCGCTTATATATCACTGCTGTGCAAACTCTTATCATGTGTTTTGTGGTCTCATACGTTTTTTTGCAAAATCTACAAGTTTCGCTAGAGTAAGTTCCCAGTTTTATGAGGTGATAGTTTTAACTACAAAGACCTTTCAGAATTTCTGAAATAATTCTTAAATTATTCTTACTTAGTTGTATGCAATTATTTAACCGCTTATTATTAAAAGTCCATATAAGTTATTTTGATTGTAATAGTCCTTGAAGATTATCATAGTATAGCTTTTTTCCCTTTTTTCTGAAAGGTTAAAAGTAAAATAAATTACCTCCTTCCAATCCACAGAATGGTTAACGACGCTGCCTATTTTCTGGGTCTGAAGTTTGTCAGCAACTTCATTACAGGAAATACCACCGCGACCTGGAACCCATAACATCTATATGTGATTATTTTCGTCAAGGATATTCAACACTCCATAACCAGTCTTGATATCATCTGATGAGAACTGGGTGCCTGTTTTGCGGACTGGTTATCAGTTAAGATGACTTTTCTATAGTTCTGACATCTAAGCTTAAAGTATATACACCTGTCTATCGCATAAGTTTCTTCTTAAAAGGTAGTTGTGCTTTTGCCAACTACTTTATCTAATAAAAAAGAATATGACTAATCAACTAATTGAAATTCGACAATTCATTATATTTTTTACTACAGAAATTGTTACACACTTTTATAAATTGTAATACTTCAATCAATAGTAAGTAAATTCAATTTCTAAAGCCAAGCGAAAATGACCGTTATCGAATCGAAGTGAGACTGCTGAAATGGTGACCAAGCCAGGATTGACGATTATGAAGCTTTTGTTAAGTGTTTGGTGGGATTGGTAACGAATCATCTACTATAAGCTGCTTCAATACGGCAGAACTCTTAACTCAGAACTGCATTGTCAACAAATGGACAATAGGAGAAGAATTGTGTTCGCCAAAAGCTCCGGGAGCTTGGTTGGGGTGTACTTTTATATCCACCTTATAGTTCAGATGTGGTACCAAATATCATCTGTTCCTGTCCATGACGATATAATTTTTTTGTGAAAAATTAGCTTCAAGAGAGGCTTTTGAAAATCAACTGTCTCAATTCGATTTTCAAAAAACTGTCTCAATAGTGACAAGGACTTGTATGAGAGAGGCATAATGAAATTACCATTAAAACGGTGACAAATCATCGAACAAATCGATGCATATTTGACCTAAATCGGAACATTCTAACTATAGTAAATAAGCCTACAATTTTATACAAAACTAATGGATTTCTTTTTACTACACCTTTTATAATAATATATACTTATATATATATTATATATATCTTTGTATATATAATTCTTCTGTACTTCTTCTAAAAGGCTGAATCGATTTTGATGAAATTTTTTGTGTGTATTCAAGTGGATTCAAGGATGGTTCAGATTCACAATTTGGTCCACTGGTCAATGTTTTTTTTAATTATTATAAAAAAAAATTATTTATATTATTATTATTATTTATATTAGACATTTAAAATTTATTCATGCTTACTTTGATTTGTTTAAAAAGTTTAAAGTCTCTAAAATGAATCATTCAACTATCCTGTTGAATTTTTGAATTCGCTGGATTTACCAGGAATGCCACCACATAACATAAAGGAAAAATTGGCTCACCTATAATTATGCTACGGAAGTTAAATGCACCTAAGCTATGCAACGGCACAAGATTAGTCATTAAAAAAATTATGGGCAATGTACTTGAAGCTACAATTTTGAATGGCAAATTTGAAGGTGAAGCTGTTCTCCTGCCACGAATCCTAATGATCCCTTCAGACTCACCTATTCCATTCAGACGTCTACAATTTCCAATTCGCTTGGCATTTGTCATGACTATTAATAAGTCACAAGGTCAAACAATGTCGATTTATGGGATAGATCTAGGAAATCAAGTCTTTTCACATGATCAATTATAAGTTTATTCATTTAAACTCCTCAAGAATTGACTAAAAATATTGTTCATCAACTCGCATTAAGATGAAATTAAACAAACATTATTGATTATTACGAATTGTTTCGTAATTATTTGTCTTTCATTTCTTACTTTGTTTAATATCCTAATCGCTTAGTATATCATGCAAGACAACATCTGTCGGGTCCGCTAGTATTATATAATTATTATTATGCAATTATTATTAAAATTAAGACACAATAATAATTATATCCAAAATTATATATGAATGAATCGAAGTTTCTTTTTAGTTCATTTAGGTCTATTTAACCTGAAATAATCCACGATTACCATATGCTAACACAAATTAAGACGTTGCATAAACATGCTTAACATATATATTATAACACCTACAGACATGGTTGATACATTATTTTATGCGGGAATGTTGCAACATTCCAACAAAGTTATTTTATGGCAGTCTGAATGGGCATGCCGTAGTCATCGCAAGTTAAAGGGAAGTGCAAAAAAAAAGCTACCTATAGATGGAAATATTTCTAGTGAAGATAATACTAAAGAGGTATCTGTTGGCATCCCAGAAAATGTTTGCCCAACTTAACTAAAATCTATATGTGAAATTGTATTGGCTAACAGTTGACGTATTCAAAATTTCGATAGAGAAGAAGATGAACATCCCAAATCAATGATGCACGGTTATTCGAAACAGCACAGAGGCAAAACAAATGTACCGCGTACTTGTGCGATCACAGAATATAACAAATATATGTGTGTAGTGAACAATTTTGACCAAAATTTTGCGCATTACCAACGTAATGCTATGTGTCAAATGTGTCAAATGTTATTCGATCTATCATACAAAACCATGAAGGATTTTAACTCATAAAACAGTTCATTTTCATTCAACTTCAATAATTGTCTACTTCCCTGCAGATTTTCTTAATAAAAATGCATTACTTCTTTATAAAATAGTCTTTCTTTCTCATATTTTCAAAGGAAAACACGAAAAAAACCGTTTCCTTTTAAAAAAACACGTACCCTAGGCGACCCACGGTTACCATATGGTAACGCAGGTTTTTCATATTTTCCGAAAAAGTGTCAACACGAATCAAAAAATTGACCTCATATTATTGCTCCAGAAGTCAAAATACACTAATATCCGTCTTATTAACAAAATCTGCGACAAAAATTTAGGTGGGCATTACCGGGTTAATATAATTCAATCTTGAAATAAATTATTATTCTTTACTTTTATAATCATAATTCTTCTTATAAATGAATAAATTTTTATTTAAAGACCATTAAATGCATTCCCTTAGGACATCAAAATTCCATACTTTATTTATATAACAATGCTGAAAAAACCTTCTTTATTCCAAAGTTACTGCTATGTCAAAAATTCCATAAACCTGAGTTCTAAAATCATATTAGACTCAGTCACATTTAAATCGGATGCCAGAGCAACCAAATTTATAAAAAAATAATATTCTTTCATTTATCAGGTTCTGCATCAATGTTTTTTGAATCCGATAGCCTGGCAAATTCCTAACACGGTTGGCGTAATCAAAATGAACTCAAGTCATAATATAGTTATATATATTATATTTTTATCAGAGTCAAGAGATTATATAGGTAAAAAAAATTTAAGAGATTGCAAGCAATAAGTATCGGATGTTTTTTTTAGCTGCATGAGAATTAATGATACCGATAACTATGGTTTGTGTTAACATTCCTATTCAGTAAGGTTTGGCAATTCATCATGAATCGTTTAACGCTAGAACAACACTTCCAAATTGTGGAAATTTATTTTGAAAAAAATAAATAAACGTCATACTGAAGAGAATATTGCTGCTGTAGCACGTGGTGTTAAAGAAGACGCTGAAATAAAGAAGGAGCTGTCGGTGTTACGGTGGAGTTACGGTGAATGGCGAGCGCTATCAAGCCATGCTGACTGAATCTTTGTTCCCAAAAATTAATTAGTTAGACATCGACGACATTTGGTTCTAGTTCCAACAAGACGGCGGAACTTGCTGTACAGAGCGCTTAACAATCGATTTATTGCAAAATCAATTTGGTAACAATTTTATTTCTAGAAATGGCCCTTTTAACTGATCCCTCATTCGTGCGATTTGACGCCTCTCGATTGCTTTTTATGGGGCTATGTTAAGTCATTGGTTTATGCCGACAAACCAGTAACTCTTGAAAAATTGAAAGCCAATGTTCATGTCACCATTCACGCCATACGGCCACATTAATTGCAAGAAATAGTTAATAATTAGACTGATCGAATGGACCATCTAACTCGTAGTCTCAGCGAACATATGCCGCAAATCATGTTCAAAAAATAAATGCCAGAAATTATCTCCCAGATTATAATAAAATTATCTACCAGATAAAAAATTCATTCCAACAATATTTCTGTCTTGTATTATCATATTGATGCATATTGATCATGCAGCTAAAAAAATACCCGATAGAATTGCCCGCAAATGCTGGGAAAAAGTGCTGAACCAAACTACTTACATTAAATTTCCGCCTATAACTTTTATAATTATTTGAACTACATTTATATATTTTTATATCTTGAACTCTAACTCTAACTCTACAAATATAAATGTCTAATATAACGTTCAACTTCAAATATAATTAGCGATGCTATAACTTTTGTATCTCAAGAAGCAGCATTTTCCTCTATCACCCTAAACTACACCAGTTTTTTCTTATTTTTTTTTTTTTAATTAAATGCAACATATATTATATTATATATATACTACTGATATATATAATTTATGTGCAAGTTAATAACAATTATTAAAAACATACAAAATTATTTTATGGCACATGCCAATTTCAAAACAGACATAAGGTTTTGAAGTCAAGAATTATTTATGAATCTTTAGTCTGTAAATTGTAATGAACCCAGATCTTGTCAATACATCGGTTATATAAATAAAAAACAAAAGGTTCGCTTAAATTCGAACCTCAAGATAAAGTATAAAAGCGCAGGCATACCAAAATTACTCCAGAGAATTAATAAAATTTAATTCTGAAAGCACCTTGTCACCACTCAATTAAAATGTCTCCATTACGTTTTAATCTTTTTTTAATTGGTAAATATTGTTATAAAAAATTATTATATCTTAATAAAATAAATTACATTCTGTCTTACATATTTTAGTCTTCATATCTACTGTCTATCTATCATATGAGGAACCTATTTTGGGATTATTAAGTCCAGTTGTTAATATCCTAGGTGGAGTAACTGGTAGCGCAACTGCTACTACTGCTAGACCAGCCACAAGTTCAGTTACTGTTGCATCTGCAACGGGAGCAACCGGAACTGTATCTGCGGGTGCAACTGGAAGCACAACTACTGGTTCAAATGGAGTTACTAGTACTAGTACTGTAGTTACTAGTACTAGTACTTCCACTGTTGGCACATCCAATGCAGTGTCCGGTGGTGTTGGCAGTATTCTAGGAGGAATAACTGATCCAATTACAGGTGTTGTTGGGATAGTTACTGGAGCTACTGGTGGTGATGTTCTTGGTGGATTAACTGGCGGTGGAACTGGTAGTGTAACTGAAATATTGCCCGGTGTTCTTGGTGGATTAACTGGAGCTGCTGGGGGAGGTGCACTTACTGGCCTTACCGATACAATTACCGGTGCTATTGGTGGTGTTACCGGAGCTGCTGGTGGAGGTGGAACTGGTAGTGTAACTGACATATTGCCCGGTGTTCTTGGTGGATTAACTGGAGCTGCTGGGGGAGGTGCACTTACTGGCCTTACTGATACAATTACCGGTGCTATTGGTGGTGTTACCGGAGCTGCTGGTGGAGGTGGAACTGGTAGTGTAACTGACATATTGCCCGGTGTTCTTGGTGGATTAACTGGAGCTGCTGGTGGAGGTGCACTTGCTGGTCTTACTGATACAATTAACGGTCTTATTGGTGGTGTTACCGGAGCTGCTGGTGGAGGTGGAACTGGCGGCACAACTGTTCCTGGTGGTGTTATTAATATTCTTAACGGTGCAACTGGATTAACTGGTGTTCTTGGTGGTGCTAATGGAATTCTTAATGCAGTTCTTGGTATTCTCGGCTTATTACCTGGTGCGGGAACTGGATTACCTGGTGGTCTTGGTGTAATTCCCAATATTTTTGGTTTATTACCTGGTGCTGGAACTGGATTGACTGGTGGTCTTGGCGCTCCGAATGAAATTCTTAGTGTAATTCCTAATATTCTTGGTTCAGTAACTGGTGATCTTGGACTTCTTAATGCAGTTCTTGGTATTCCTAATGAAATTCTTAGTGTAATTCCTAATCTTGGTTCAGTATCTGGTGGTCTTGGAATTCTTAATGGAGTTCTTGGTATTCCTAATGAAATTCTTAATGTAATTCCTAATCTTGGTTCAGTATCTGGTGGTCTTGGAATTCTTAATGGAGTTCTTGGTATTCCTAATGAAATTCTTAGTGTAATCCCTAATCTTGGTTCAGTAACTGGTGGTCTTGGAATTCTTAATGCAATTCTTGGTATTCCTGGTTCATTAACTGGTGTTGGAACTGGATCAACTGGTGGTCTTGGTGGAATTCCTGATATTTCTGGTTTATTACCTCTTTTAACTAACTTACTTACCGGTGGTCTTGATGGAATTACTGGTAATAACCCACTCACCGGAATTCTTACTAGTATATTTCCTGATTTGCCTGGTTTATTAGCTGGTGGACTTGGTGGACTTGAAGGACTTCATGATGTTCTTAACATATTAACTGCTGGTTGTACTGGTACCACAATTGACCCAGTTACCTGTGCTCTTAGTGGCATTGTTAATGGTGTTGGTGGATTAGCTGGAGGAGCAATTCAAAGCGTAGCTAATATACTTTTAGGTATTGCTGATAAAATCTCTGATGCTACTGCTGCATTAGAAGCTGGTTCACATTCAATTGCTCTCAGCATTTTGACGGATGTACTTACTAATATGTCAAGCATTATTTATAATACAACGTGTGGTGCTACCACAGCAACGAATATATTGACAAATCCAACGGGTGCATTTACAATTCTTCAATCATTATTGCCAGTGTAAGCTTTCGCTTATGATTTAATTGATTAATGTTTTAAAATTACATAAATTTTTAAGCTTTTATGTTACATTTATGAATTATGTATTTTAGATTAAATTCACTTATGTTTTTAAGTTAAGTTCGAAATTTTTTGAATTATTAAATAAACTAATATATTTTTACAGAAATTTATGCATTATATTAGTTTGGGTCAGATGTAAATCATAAATTATAAAAATTTAAATAATTTCATATGTCTACTACAGTTTTAGAAAGACAAAGCAATTTAAATAAGTAATCTATTAACTTCGTAAAGTTCAGAATACAATTACCTATGAAAATATAAGTATCCTTAATGAAGTAAAAGTCTGAAATCATTTTTTTTTTGTTTGAAAATTATGAAACAAAAGACTATTCTATCTAAGAAACAATTTTAACAATATAAGGACAAATTTATTTTATACTAATCACTCACTCACATAATTAATTTAAATTTAGACTTTTGATTGCATTCCTACTTAGAAAATATGCTTAACCTATCATTCCAGTTCTTTAGAAGTCCCCCAATCAGAGTTCTAATGTCTCACGTCACTTACATAAAAATAACACACATCACCTCTTTATAACAATTTCTCTTCAAATATCTTAATACTGAAGAAGTACAGTATTACTTCACAACTAGAGTTAGCGCATATAGCAATAATTACACCTATATATTTCGAGAACATCATTAATTTAAAATAGATCCTTTCGAAAATTATCCCATTATAGCTGTTATACGTAATTCACCCAACAACAATATTATTAGAATGTCGTCTCATCTTGAAAACAGATGAGACCTATGGTCAAAAACTTTATGTTTGTCTAGCTTTGATCTGTACCAGAAAAATATTATTGATCCGTGAAAACGATATCAACGAAAATATAAATAAATGAGAAATTAATATTGTCATTGCTAAAGATCGACGTTCCGCAGAACATACGCATTTCAATTAAACTTATGTATTCAAAATTTGATCATACTATCTATATAAATAGTTAAATAGGCAAAACTTAAGAATTTCAGTACAGCCACTAATTGCACTTTAATTACTTTCAAACGGTTAACATTTTGTCTTTCATATGAAGAACTGAGTATCTTCTCCTCAATTAAAATCGATTAGCAGCACAAAATATCATGATCGTAATGCCCTGCACTGATGAGTGACTGTACCAACTCTTATTCGTATATTATCAATCATTCTCCAATTTAATATTGTAACCAATAACCTATATAAATTTAATTCAAGTTCATGGGTTTGCTTGGAAACCAACTGTATAAACAAATGTATAACTTAAATAAACTGATGAATCATTTAGATATAAATTATTGTTTATCTTTCTACGAGTTCACAAAGCGTATGACAGTATCGGTTATTTAACACATTCGAACTTTGCTCACAGATCATTCATATACTTTTCTCGACAAATGGTTTGCACTACGCCATTCACTCCCTTGAAAATCTCGGTGATAATATAACAAAGTCGTACCAGATCTCGTGCGTATGCAGACGATATTGCAGTCATAGCAAAGAGCGATAGGAACCTATCAAATGTATTCAAAAAGCTAGACGAAAGCACAGATAAAGTTAGTCTGAGAATTAATGAAACTTAAACTAAATATCTTAAGCTAACGAGAAGGAACAAGAATATGGGTACGCCACATATAGCAATTGGTGAATACAATTTTGAGGTTGTAAGCTACTTCATCTTATTAGGTGCGCTGATTAGCAACAATATTGATGGCAAAATTGCAATAAGAAATAGAATACAGGCAGCAAATAAATGTTTTTACAAATATTTGAACTTAATAAAAACAAGATTACTATCTAAGGAAAGTAAGCTACTTATAGCTCAGAAACATGGACAATGACAAAAGCGAACATAGAAGCTTTTAATCTACAGGCCAATCCAAATTGATGCAGAAAATATATAGTAATATTGTTGGACTTCAAGAAATATAGAAAGGACACTATATTTATGAAATAGAAGTCGAAAGTATTGCCATTTTATTAAAGAGTTCTAATCGCATTTTTCATAATTTTGTAAATTTCATACAGGATATTCCTAAAATCTTCATAAGGCCTTTTCTTTTGTAAGCATATCACAAAAGAACAACTGCTTACTTTAAAACATATGAAACAACAATACAGCTGGCTTATTTAGTCCAACCTTTTTAAAATTGCTTAATTAATAAGCAGCTCAAATCACATGGTTGCCAACACTAAAAATTCATTATATTAATTATATTAATTCATTATATTATATAAAATTCAAATATTGTGCACGATTTTTGGAAATACATATGAAATTTCCAGTTATCTGCCAACGAATGATTTCATTAATTATTCGTATTGGTGTCGTCATTGTTCGTAACAAATATGTTATGTTTTCTATTTATTATTTTACTGTTAAAAAGCACGTAAAATTATACATATATGTGTACAAAAGAAAATACCTATTATAGTTTTCCTCTAAACAGCTGACTAATTGACAGCTGCCTTAAGAATGCTTTTAATTCTTGTGCGTAAACGGTCTAAAAACTAATTTTAAAATCAGCTTTAAAAGTTATTTTATTTGGTATATATCTCACATGTATATGAGATTAATACCGAAATAAAACTGAAAAAATTTTTCATTGCAGCAATTGAGCATATTTAATTATTAGGAAAAAAAATTTATCTATCTATTAGGAAAAATTTATAATAATTTATCTATTAGGAAAAAAAATTGATATCTATCTTGTTATCATGTCTTGTATTCTTTAAAAAAGTTACCAAAAAAACTTTGAAGCTACCTTCTACAGCGAAATGGTAATGCCAAATTTCAACAGTTTAATCAGCTCCGGAACTAGTTAATTTTAAGGACCTCGTCAACTTGTTTTATATAACATTAACATATGATTTTAACAGTAAGCCTAAAAAGGTTGCCACTTTCGAAAAAAATATTTATTTAGTATTAGTGTCGCCATCTATGTGTCAGTCACACACATTATTGAACGAAGTGTTATAGTTCATAATCAGCAGTTATATGCTGCTTCGATTTAAGCTGTCGATTAAGTATACCGATTTTATTATAAGCAAAAATTTTAAATTGAAATTGAGGGCGAAAACTAATATTCGCTTCATAAAGCAATATATTACATTTTTTTTTACACAATGCAACACTGCCAAATTTTTTTTTAATATGAAAAACGGTACTTAACCGAATGCCCGGCGTCATTTCATATTTGATGCGAAATGCCCAGTGTTCATTGTGAGACTAATTTAAGCTTCAAAAATAATTTTTAGAGCTTATTCCTGTAAAATTATTTTTAAATAGTTAAAATACACTCAATAAGTTATCGATTGTATTTAAAATAATGACAATATTCTTACTAGATATATATTTTTATAATAACAAATTTTAGCGTCCTACGCTATTGAGCAGTGTCTTGTATTGAGTAGTGTCTCTAAATTCTGAATAACAACGATAATCAAGATGACAAACCTTTTATCAGAAATAGAAAATGGAAATGGCATGAACGATGAGTTTTGTGAAACTAATTTTCAAGCTGAGGGTAAGAAATGCAAAGACAAGCCGAATTTGTTTCAGGAACTTGGTTTAAAACGTAATGAACAGGGTGGGCTCGTGAATTATTCTGATAACGATGACGAGCAGCCAACCACTTCAAGTCGTGCAATAAAACAAACCCAAGCTGCTAGCAAATCTGTTAATAAACCTCAAGTTGGGCTTGTAAATTATTCTGATAACGATGGCGAGCAACCAACCACTTCAAGTCGTGCAAAAGAACAAACCCAGGCTGCAAGCAAATCTGTTAATAAAGCTCAATAAAGTAGGCTTATTGAATATGAGAGATTGCGTAATCTTCTTTTAAAACTGATTACGTTAATATCTATGGTAATCAACATCATCGTAATGTCTTAATGGACGATTATTCGCCAGAAAAATTTATGCAACCATTTTTAGAGTGTGAAGAAAAAAATTTGAAAGAGGAAGCAGATTTGCTACAAAAATATCGGTGTAAGCTGGAAGATAAAGAACAATCCAGAAGAGTATAACAGAACTCTTACCCGTTACAATATCAGCAAGCGTGGGGGAATTGAATAAAAACAGTTGAGACTATTAAAATAAATTTTTTTTTATTATGAATTGGACATATTTAATTTTTTTTATATATAATTTTTTTTTATTTAATTTTTTTTTATATTTAATTTTATTATATATTTAATTTCATTTCATATTTAATTTTTTTTTTATATTTTTTTAATTTTTTTTATTTTTAATTTGTTTCGACTTATTTTTTTTGTCTTAATTTTTATTTATCTTTTTATTTTTTAATTTATTTTTTTTTTTTGATTAAATTTATTAATTTCGATCTAAGTTAATTGAGTCGCTGTATGACTTAAAATTGTTCCTTAACATTTAAAGTGAAATATATTTGACAGAGAAAATTTGAAATTAAAAGCAAATATTATTATGTTGAGGCTACTTGAGTCAGTGCACCTGAGCACTTTACTCTCTATTAACTGCGAGGTTTCTTCAAAACCCCTCTTTCCGCCTTGACTAGATTATTATTTATCACTTCATCAGACTAAGCAATAATTGACCTCAGATTTGCATACCTCCCCGAGGAGCCTGTAACCATTCTGAGATTTGATAACGCGGTATTGGTAAGTCTGTCAGATTTCGTAAATAATTTCAGGGCTCTATTCTTTATGTATTTTTTAATAGGATCAATCTTGATGTCCCTGAGGATGTCATTCGTCTAAATGAATCTCGACCAAAGTTTAATAAGGCTGAAATTAGTTTGTGTATAAAGGTATAAAAACAGGTGGGCTGCCCCGTAGGGAATAGAGCTACAGTTAGGGTACACATTAGATATAGACGTATACATGCATTGCTTGATGTATTTGTTGTAATAGTTTCTGACTTTAGAAATTTTAACGTACATACTAGCTTACAAAGTGGTAAACATCAGTGACTATTCGAGTTATGCTTATTATTTATACACTGTGTTATCTTCAGATATAGGACACCGTTTTTAAAGTGCTCTCTTTATGCTATCCCAGTTTTACGCTATTGAAAAATCTAACAACCGGTGCAATTTATATATTTATTTTCAAAAAAAAAATAATGATATAACTAACGGACAAAAAAGTATTGATTGATGAGGTCTTGGACTTTTCGAATATGGGTTAAATATTAACTAATTTTTGTTTGCGGATTTAAGGTCTCAAACCGTGTATAATTGATTCTATGAATATTCACAGCATCACTTCCACATAATATGTCATATATTTGATTATTATTTATTTATGTAATATGTCTTACATTTGAAATGTCCCCTAATTTTTTTCTTCGTTTCAATTAAATTAAAGCCATTTTTCTTAATTTCGTTCTAACCTTAAAACTGAATTTTGTATGGAAAATACCACTTAATTACGCTGAAACAAAGTTGAAATTAAAATTTTTGCTAAATCAAGGTGTGCCTGAACATAATATAAAACATGTTTTAAAAAATCGTTGTGTAAATTGGTTTAAAGAATTTGCAAGCATAAATTTATAAATGCAACCCTGTTGTTAAAGTTTTTGTTCTCCCAGAGCGTTTATTTTTATGACGTCGACTAATAGAAAAATTCTTGGTCGCAAATAAGAATTTTTACATTACATTAAATGAAATAATAAAAATTAATTTTTTTCTTTTGTGTTCAGAAAGTTAAAATATTTTAAAATATTCGTTACATAAAAGAAAAAATGTATAGATGCTTTTTAATTAAAAAACTAGAAGCAGAACAAAAATTAGCATGTGACCTCGATTGAACTCTGGTCCACACAAAGCTAAAAAAAAATGAGTAGATATAATTATAAAAAAAATTTTAGTCAAATGTAAAATATTCATTTTAAAAACTAAAGTACTTAATTTAGTTTTTATTTTAAGTCGTGTAAAAAGTTTAGTTGAAAAGTTTTATTTCGCGATGGGCACAAGCGGGGGCTTCAAAAGTGAAGGTAGGCTTCAAGGTTCTTTCCACATATGTATATACGAACGCATATGTATTCTACTGAATATTTATCATACATTTTTATATATATTTTTGCAGATAGCAAAACACTTGTCAATCACAATGCACATTCTTCCGGCGCTAGTAACGTTAGTGTAGAACTGTGCCTTGTGTGTGGTGATCGAGCGTCAGGTCGGCATTATGGAGCAATTAGCTGTGAAGGCTGCAAAGGATTTTTTAAACGTTCCATACGTAAGCAGTTGGGATACCAATGTCGAGGCGCCATGAACTGTGAAGTAACTAAGCATCATCGAAATCGTTGCCAGTTCTGTCGTTTGCAGAAATGTTTGGCCAGCGGCATGCGAAGTGATTGTAATTTTCATTTAAATCGTCGAAAACATCTTAGAAAACATATATTAATTTATTAACAAAATTTTTTATTTTTATTTCTGTGCTTGTGTTTATGTTTGTCTTTGTAAAATATAAAAAATTTTAAGCATATTTAAAAACAGAGAACTATTCTAGTTGCATGTATTGTATAAATGTAGTAAAAGCATTTAACTTTAAAATTTAATTCGAACCTTAACTAAATATTTAGAATTTTAACTTTAGGATTCATTACTTTTAATTTTAAATATTTATTTATAGTTAATTGATATATTTATATAATTAATATATAAATTTGTATTTTTTTTTGTTAAGTTCATTACTGCATGCATTCATTCATTAATTTTTATTCTAATTTTTATTTTCACACGAAATAATTATTGTTTTTAACTTAGCTGTTCAACATGAGCGCAAGCCAATAGTTGACAAAAAAGATATACTAAACAACACAAACTTAAGTGCTACGGGTTCCACTACTGCAGCGAATGCTGGAAATTTACTGTCAGTCGGAAAATCTAAAAGTCCAGTGTATCAACAACAACTATTAAAGCAACCTGTTTTTAATCATAATCTGAACACCACATCGACAGTGACTTCATCTAGTGTCACAGCAGCTGCCGTAGCCGCTGCGGCTCTATCCCTGGATAATAACATATCGAACGCTAACGTTTTTCCAATGGGTTTAAATTTAGCTGAACTAAGACAAACTTTAAGTAAGAAGTCTACACAAGTCTAATATTTTAATTAATATCCAATTTTTATATAACAAATATTACTATTACAGTGTTAGCAAGCCAACAACAGCAACAGCTTTCAACTCAACCAAACCCAGCTCTTTTCTTTCCCACAGAATTTGCCAAAGCCAGTGATGATGAGGACTCTATTGATAATAGTAGCACTTTATGCTTACAAAATCTTTCAACTACTACAAACAATAATAATTCCCAAAATCACAATTTCAATGTTGAAAACTCACCAAATCCCACTACTTCGATTGGCTTTCTGCAGTCGTCATTGGATAGACGCGCTATTAATAAAGCCTTACAACTACTGATTCCTGTGCAACAGCATTTAGAGCGTATTGCAGCATCGAATAGTGGTTTAAATACATATAATATTAAGAAAGAAATGGAAGACTTCGAAATGAGTGACGGTGAGTTGTAATTTTATGGCTCATAAATATATTATAACAAAGCACCAACCTTTTTTTTTAAGGTAACACCGCTGGCGATGGTTCTGACGAACAAAACGAAATGGATGATTGCTCTACTGATCGCTTTGAATTTATTATTAATGAAAATATATTTGAAAATGGTTTGTTAAGTGGCACACAGATCTATTTTAATTTGCAGGCTCCGGCCTTAGTGTCATCGTACTTAAGCATGCATTACGTTTGTGAGACTGGTTCACGTATTATATTTCTTAGTGTGTATTGGCTGCGTAAAATTGCTGCATTCCAACAATTGGATGAAGAAACACAAGCTAAGCTTTTGCGTAGCGCGTGGCCCGGACTTTTAGCAATTGCAATTGCACAGTCGACTAATTTATCTGTACCAACTATTGTGTCTACATTTATTAGTAACATAAGACAGCTATCGAATATTGATAAAATAGAACCACAAAAAATTCGCAAACATAGTGAACATGCCACGAATTTATATGTCTTTATACAGGAGATGCAAACAAGCGAAGTGAGCCACATAGAATATGCTTTACTACGTTTGGTGTACACATTCAATCCATTTCTGATTATCGACCCAAAAGAACGAAATTTACAAACTTATATAAAACGTGTACAAATGTACGCTCTAACAACTCTGCGCAATCACATTGCAACCTACAAAACAGCTGCGGAAGTTGAAGAGCGTTTCAATGAACTTGTTATGAATTTACTACCGTTGCGTGCCTTGGAAACGGAAACAATTGAGGAGCTTTTCTTCGCCAATTTGGTGGGACAAGTGCAAATAGATAGTATGATACCATTAATTTTGACGCTTAGCGCAAATTATGGTGTTTAGAACGTTACAACCCTAACCAGTGTAGCTATTCTAACATACCAAACCCAACGGAAATATCGTTCAATGGGATTTTTTAAAAGAAGCAGAAATATATAAATTTATATATAAAGACAATATCAAGCATAGACTGAACTCGTATAGAGGAAGCTTTAACTTGTCCAACGTTTACAATTTTTTTTATTTTATTTTATTAAACCTGTTGAAGCAACTTTCCTTCGTTTTTATAAGAGTATGTATACAAAATATATGGAATATATTTAAAATGCAATTAGATGTTAAGTAAGATTTAATCTTAAAGACATAATTTTTTAATATTAATACAAAATATAACTATTGAAAATAGCGTTGTATAAATAAAGGTTATACAAATATTTAAAAAAAATGTGTCTCAATTTATTTTTATTCCATATGTGAAACTTTCGATAGAAAAGTTCTTCGTTAAAAAACAGCAGACATAATCCTTTTCCTTTTATAATTGTGTGAGCATACGGAACTGAGATTGTTGCTTTATTTCCGTTATCATCTTGAATATCTAAGGCCTTTTGCGATATTGTACTACGGTTTTTGTTAATATAAGTTGTAATTCAAAGTAAAATTTTTCAGACGAAAATGACTATTATATTTAATAGAAACTTAGAAAATTTCATAAAGAGGTTCTTCGAACAGTAGTGAACTACAACAACAAAAATTTATTTTATATTATTTTAATGAATTGAATTTTTAGCTGACGATACAGCTGTTTCGTTTATTGACAAATACCCATCATCAGTGTTCTTGGAAATAATTCTTGTATTTAATTATTCGTTAATAATTTTTTTCGACTGCGAGTGCTAGGAATCAAACTCGTGTTCTGCCAAATTGGAAGCTCAGAGTCAGCGCACCTTTTTGGATAATTTTATTAAGAATGCAGGCAGTTGTTGTGTCGCAAACGTGCGGAAAGTCAGACATATTCCCAAGCAATAACTTTGGAATAAATGAAACTGGTACCACATTCAATCATTTCAGGTGATTCTACTTATCCGCTCTTAAAATTTATAATGGTTCCGTACAGGGACAATGGATACTATGTACAGATAAAAAAAATTAAATATTGCTTAAGCACGACAAGAGTTTTCATAAAGCAAACCAGTAGAATTCTTAAGCAAAAATTCGAAATTCTGAACCGTATTAACGTTGGAACAGTACAAATCATTTCAAAAGTGATATCTACTTGTAATATATTGTATAACTTTATAATTAACGATGGTTAAACTTTAAAACACATTACATAATCTCACTACGGACATACATTTATATATGCTATGAATGTTGACGCTGAATGTAGGTCAAATTGTTTGCTTCCAACAGTAGACATTGACGATGGTCTCGATGACACCTCTACACCCAACAATTCAACAACACTATTTATTTCTTAAACGGTCTTTAAATTCCTTTTATTTAAGTTCCGGTGGTATAATAAATTATAAAAAAATAAATCAAGATATTGATCACTTTTGAAGAAGCTGCTCCAACATATTTTTTATTTCCACCATGTATTGGATTCACTGTCGTTTTACTTCAAGTTTTTCTCGTTTCAATTCAATGATTTTGTTATAACGAGTCTATTCCTTTGACGATTCTTTACTTTTGAAGAAGCTGCTCCAACATATTTTTTATTTCCACCATGTATTGGACTTGCTGTCGTTCTACTTTAAGTTTTTCAAGTTTCAATTCAATGATTTCGTTATAACGAGTCTATTCCTTTGAGGATTCTTTACTTTTGAAGAAACTGCTCCAACATATTTTTTATTTCCACCATGTATTGGACTCGCTGCCGTTCTACTTCAAGTTTTACACGTTCCAATTTCATGATTTCTTTATGACGAATCTGTGCCCTTGAAGATTCTTTTTCCAAAAACTGTAGAATATCTCTACTACTGCAGACTTTTTGCCTTTTGTTTTGTCGAGAGCACGACCCTTCATCCATCCTGCTTTTCATATTTTGGCTATCGTCAACATCTTGCTGTTCTATGGACGATTGCAGATTTTCTTTTGTTGAATGAACGGAGTGTCTAATCCCATAAACTTCGTCAAAACTTTCAAAAAATTCCCAGTAAGTTGCATTTCTGCCCGTACGTTTGTTTCTGTTTTTTATACGTTTGTACGTTGTGAGCAAGTTAATAAATTTCCGAGATATTTATTCTTTCGTCATATTAACATCAGGCATTATCTTTTCCATTTCTGCTAGAACTTTCGCCCATAGAAACGATTTCTTTTTTCGACCCGCACTAACCTCGCCATCCAGCTGCAACTTAGTTTCCACCAGCAATTTAAGTTTCTTTTCTGGTACGTTATCAACTCGTTAAGTAAAAATAAATTTTATATAAATATTTATTTACGAAAATAAATATCTTCAACTTGCTCTTTTTCCATATTTTCTGATATTCTTTAAAAATCTATAATGCAGTAATAATGTTTGCAGCACATTTTTTTTTTTTGCAATAGGTGGAAGCATCGAAAGCCACCGTGTGACACTTGAACCCACTAAACCACCTGTTTGGAATGTAAGTGAAAGATTGCACCCGCAGATGCAACACCATTCCAGAATTAGGAGAGACAGAAAATAAGAGCTTAATATTTGTATACAAATTCCTCTAAGCTAGGACTGAAAACGCATGAGCGTTGAAATTAGAGGTGATGAGAAAATCCTAACAAACTAATGAGTGAAGATGACTACTAACGGTATACACGATGTAGGGGATTGTAAAATCCACGGTTGTATAACGGGATGAATTGAGGGGAACGAACTATTTCATCAAGGTAGACAGAAAGTGATTGAGAGGGCTTGTAAAAAAGGGCTTGAAGAAACTCAGAAGGAAGATCCTCTTTACGAAGAATATTGGGGGGAGATTGTGTCGACGAGTTAAGTGTCTGCGCGCAAGTGAAAGAAGATATTCGTCAAGTCTTTCAATCTTGGCAGAGGAGTAGAGTACTCGACAAGAGTGGTGATGTCCATTGGGTTTCCGCCTGTAGTTGATGCAGTCGCGAAGGATTTTCCTTTCAAGAATTCGGAGGCGTTCCATTTGCGCTGAGAAAATCCCAAACCAGATAGGGAACGCATACGTACAGATGGGGCGAATGAGTTGCTTATAACATAGTATCTTGGTCAGGACGTTGAGGAGGTTGTGCCTGTGCAAGGCGTTTTTAAGTTGGAAGTGCCGGAAGGCGGCATTCTGAATGGAGTGGGAAACGTGTGGAATGAAGTTGTGTTTGGGAGAGAAAACAACTCCGAGGTATTTAAATTTGTCGACTATGAGAATAGAAGTGGAGTTGATTTGGATGTTAAGGTCAGAGGAACTGAAACATCTTGAGCGATCAGTTATGTTTGCAGCACAAAAATTATTACTGCTTATATACTGCGCAACAGCTGTGTTAGTACTGCATTTATGAACACAGGATTGCAGTAATGTCGCCAAAAGCAGCATTTATAAACATGTTGCATTACTATTGCAGCAACATTGTTGCATTTCCGAACAAACCAAAATTCAACATAATGTATTGGTCCATTTATGTTGTTGTCAATTATTTGGAATACAATACACCTTTGAAATTCGCTTAGGCAGATAGATGGTACAATTATTTTCTTTTTTTTGTCTTTTTTTTGTATTAACATTCATATCACAGAAAAAATTGGCGATTTCCATATGAAGACATATTTTACCGTGTGAAAATTTTATAATAAGTTTTGTATCTATTTTTAGCACGATATGAATTTATTATTAGAGTTTACAAAGAAAACAACATATCTTGTAAAATAGATTAAAGATATAGGTTCCACGAACGGCTGGGTCTACGTCCCGCAGCTGTTATTCAATTTCGATGACCAATTGCAGTTCATTTGTCTAGTATTATTGAATAATCCAACATTATTTCAATAAATTAACTATTTATTACACAAGTTTAAATTTAAGGACGTTATACGAAATATCATAGTGTTATTTAAATACATAATATATTCTATTTATAATATTTATTTAATTATAACAATATTTTATTGTGTAATTAAATCATTGTAACCAATTGAGCACGTTTTCGCCATTCATTTAATGCAGGTGTCAAATCTTTTTCCGTAATAGCTGGCATACGTTTTAGAGAAGTATGTACACCAATATCTGCTATGGACATTTCATTACCTCCAAAGTATTTTTGTTTCTGTAGGCGATTATTGAGTGATCTTATCATGTTTGCTCGACTTTTAGCGGTTGTGCAACGTAGGAGCTGATAGCAAATATCGAGGACAGCATCAATTTCATTGCAAAGTGGTGAATCCTCGTATCTATACTCAGCAGGGCCAACACGTCCTAAATAACGAATGATATTCACTTCACCATATATGGGTACGTACATAGTAGGTGAACTTATCATTTCTGTATGCTCACCTAAAATGAAAACAAGAACTTAAATTATTATCAAATATATAATGTATGTATTAAATTTGGATAGGCAATTTTTTTCTTTTATTTATTATAATTCATTTTATTATGTTTTTACCTTTGACGATAATGTAATAGAAACATATTTGCATTTTCATTAAAAAGCAAAAAAAGGAAGTATACTGAAATGTTAAGCAATAAAGAGCAATATTATAAAAGGATTTTTTGTAAAAAAAAGAAAAATTGTAAACAGAAAGTTTGAAAAAGGATATTCAGATTAAGAACTGGGCTCCTTTACTTTTACATCAATTAAATGAAGTTAATTAAAGATGTCAATTATTAATAAATAAGTAAAAATATTAAAATAAATCGACAATGCCATACAAAATTTAAATATATTTTTCAACAATGTTTTATGTAGTTAAAGATTTTTGAGACTCTCCAGTACATAAAAATAATAAGAGGACCGCAAGCCAGAAACATTTTAGGTTTTGTTTGAGAATGATCAAGATTTTACACACTATGACCATCATTGAAATATGTATAAGTTCGCAGATATCAAAATATCTTATTTAAATTACATTTAAACAAAATCTGATTTAAACAAAATCGTCAATTCTGCGTATAAACTCTTGTTGTATATATAACGACGCCATTATTTGTTTTAAGCGCGTCTCATTAAATCAGAAACACTATGTTATTTTTACATTTTCGGAACATTCAATAAATCGATTCATATCAATTACATTGTAAACCCCTTAACTCCATGCGTGAAAGTCTTTTACTAAACACTAACAAGCATAGTAAGCATTAACACCTATATTCCCAATGTGTGTCGAAACTGTCGTTTATGCCAAGTTGTTTTCTGACAACTACTAGTCCCAAACAATCCACCCAAATTTTTATTCTATTGATACATGAAGTAACGAGATTTCTTCACAACATCCAGTATAACTTTAACATTCCTTCTTTACTTCTACCTTACACCACCTTCACTCTCATCACCCTGCCCTATTCTTCAAATTTTGTCGTTATTAGTGTAGTAGCCTGTTGGGACCTGCTTGTGTAGTTCTTATGGAGAGTGTTAAACGGTGCTTGATCGTCAAATGGTTCCTGGATGTAGACCCGACCGTTCTTGGAATCTAAACTTTGTCATTTGTGGTTTCTTTCTTTACAAATTGAATTACAACAACAATTCCATAAACGCAAGCATACTCAACTTATCTCACACATATATATCACAGAAACGCAAATGAAAAAAAGGAAAAAAACAATAAGTATAGATAATAAAACAATACTTTCACAGAAAACAATTTCATCAATTATAAAAATTAATAAATGTAACAAATTTAACAAAAAAAATTGCTTACAATTTTTCCAAATAAGTGTCACATTTATTTTCGGTATAGACTCATTTACAGGCACTGCTGCCAATTTTTTCTCGAACTCTCGCGCATCAGGTCCAATATCAGCCATTGTCGAATGTGTAAAAGTTTTTATATCAATTGTGAACAGATCCTTCCACGCATTTTTAAGAGCCAATAAGGCATATGGTATAAAATTTGGATGTCCATTAATAACGACATCATGTAATGGTTCCTATAAAATAAGAGATATTTTATTTGGATCTGATATATAAAATGTGTTATGTCAAACCTCTCTCAGTCCACCATTTTTACCAACGTATTGATTAGTATGCTGTGGACCCTTCTGACATAATCCTAATGTAGACCTTATACCTGCGAGTTGAGCTTTAAGTTCATTTAATTGTTGAAGTACTTTATCTTGCCGCACAATTATAGCCTTTGATTCGCTGGATGACTATTATTTAATTAAAAAAAAATTTTGGTTTGACACATGTTGTATTATTTAAACCATAGCTAATTTAATATGATAAAAAAAATTGCAATAATTGTTAATGTATTATTATAGTAAGAGTGACAGCTATATAAAGGTATAAACAGCGCTATGAATAAATAATATAAATGGTTCGGTTTATTGATCTAGTAATCTAAGTAACTAGTTCGATTCAAAAGCCAACCAACGGCACAAGATTTGGCTCGCCTCTAAGCTCTGTATTAACGACTCAAAGCAGAATTTTGAAAGCCGCAGTGATTTTATTAGCGATTAACTTGAATTACCCTTAAATGTCAAAGGTTTCAATTTTAAACTGGTTCTGTTCAGAACTAGTTCACAGCGCTGGTTATATATTACTTGTAGTCAATAAATAAATTAAACATAAATTTTGTGATTTAATTTAAAAACAATATTTTGTTAATAAGACAAATATGAAAATTAATTATCAAAATAATAAATTTATAAACAAAAGCTTGCAATAAGGCAAATATGAAAATTAATTATCAAAATAATAAATTTATAAACAAAAGCTTGCAAAAAAAACATATATATATAATCGGAGATATATATGTATATAAAAAAGTTTTATTTAAAAAAAAGAAACTTTAAAAGCACTAAAAAAATTATTTCTTTAATTCCGATCATATATTAAGTTTTGTATTAAAACTTTTATATGATCTTTTACACATATTTTATATCTGATATTAATATATTAGTTAATAGTATTTATAATACAATGTTAAATTAAAAGTAAATTTTTTATATATATATTAGAAATATTAGAATTAGATTTCTATTTATCACGTGTTTATCACTGCTTGATTAGTTAAGTATATACTGCGATCATACTGTATACTTAAGTATGTCATACGTTCTTCCAAAGAGAGGAAATATTACTCCCGGTAAATAGATTTAAGTAAACAAATCGGTTTTAATGTAGATCTGAATAAAACTACCACAACTACTTTTGTCTCATTATTTAATCTTCCAATTAATTATAATTTATGGTAAATATTAAAGCTTTAAGCTTAAAATTAATTAATGTCAATTATGAATTTTATATATTCCACACCTCTTTCATTGTTTCCAATTAAAATAATTATTATAGTTTAATATAAAAATTAAACTTTCTTAAAAAAAAGACGTGTCACAAATTATTTTTTAATTTCAAGTGTGACCAAAATAGATCGAGCGCATGGCAAATATATCTCTCAAATATAAGGCAATTTTGAAACATGTATCTATATATATTTATGTCTGTATTTTTAATATATAAATAAGTGAACAAAAAATATATAAATGTAAATAAACAATTGTCAGAAAACAAGTTGGCATAAACAACATTTTTAGATAATTAGTTTTTTTCTTCTAATGGGTTTTTAAACAGAATAATTATTATCAATATTAATTGCACTAAGTTTAAGTTTTTATACACAAATTTAGAATTTTAACGAAACAATTTGGAATTGTAATTTGTTTGAGTTTAAAAGTATGTACAAACCGAAAAGGTACTATCGTTTAACCATAGGAAGACCAAAAAATTAATAAATTTAATAACAAATTTTGAATTTCTGATTTTGTTTAAGTTTTAAACTATGTCTAGACATTAACCACTTTTAATGCCTTTTAACGATAGAAACTAGTTTGTAAACATGTTTCAATATTATTATTGCCAATAAAACTAGTTTAAATTATTAAACGAGAACCAAACGCAGAGATGCATTTGATGCCATAGATTTTTTTGTTTGGTAAAAAGAGTGCAAGCCTTTTTGACATATCGTAAATATATGTTCGTATGGACCATCATTTCAAAACTTGCATTTAAGCATTGTTTTTATAGTCAAATAAAGTAAAAAAACAAAAAAATTAAAGCTAATTTTTGAGTTTGTTTAATAAGTCTAAATACCACTGTTAGTTAAAACATATTAAACCGATTTACGTCGGATTGAACATAGCTTTATGAAATAACGACAATGATGTAGTTGAAACTGATGAACAATTAGAATGATATACAACAAACTTTATAGAACATTTATCGAATACATATTGTGCTTATCAGTTACTGAGGAGTCATGAAGTGCTAGTTAGTAATATTAATAACAACCACATTGCCACGCCTTTTTACAAACAACAGTAACTTGCATTGATGAGTTAGAGTTAGTTTCATTAAAGTTATCTTTATTAAGCAATTAATTTTCATAGGCATTTTTACAACGTTATTAATTTTGATAAATTTTAACATTATTTAAATCTTAAAACTTTTTAAACCTTTAAAATTTTCTGAACTTGAGCGCTCAATATATCCAGATCAAGTACACACGGAGGTTGAGATGAATTTGAGGTAGACGTGGCAGTTGTGGCGAGATTTCCCTTTAATAATTGTTTTGTTTTTAATTTTTGTATAGTATTTTTAAAAAGATATAAAAAACTTCTAATTTATTTGTCTTCATTGAAACTTACATTGCATATGCTGTCTACACCATTGCTAGTGTTATTCCTAGCACATGCATCGGCTGATAGACTCACGTTTTTTAATGCGTACATACAAGTTGGTAGTTTAATATCAAATTGAGGTAGTAAAGTTTTTAACTCATACATTATTTATATTAAAATTAGTAACAATTAGAAAAAATATTTCATATAAATTGTCTTTAAATATAAAATATTACAAATATATTAGATGCAGCAAAAATTGCTTATTTTATTCACAAATTTCGTAATTAATTCGCACAATACATTTCGTTTGACAGTTGGCAGTTATAGGGTTTACAACCTTATTTTTTGTTTTTTAATGTTATATTAGCATTTGGCTGCCATTTATATGTCAAAAGAAACCCTTAAATTCACTAAGCCATTAAAAATATTTATTTCATATCGAAATGAATTTAAACCGAAAGTGAAAGTGATTAAATTCAAATAAAGGGAAATAAACAAATTTTAGTTTTGTTTCTGCTTAAAAATTTTTTAACTTATAAATTTTAAAATATCATATATACATATATTAATATATAAGTTTCGTTACAACACATTCTTTACATTTTTCATTACATAAAATGGTAAACAAATGCAAAAAATCTTAATTTTATATACATATATAGTATTATATAACATAAATTATTGTAAAATAAGTAATTTATATAGGCAGTGTGCGAATTCGAGTAAATTGAGGTAATGTAAATTGAAATTTCCTTTGGTTTTTTTGTATTACACTTATGAAGAGGTTTTTTCGAACAGTAGTGAACTACAACAACAAAAATTTTATTTTTTATATTATTTTAATTAATTAAATTTTTGGCTGACCATACAACTTTTTCGAGTATTGCTAAATACCCATCATCAGTGGTCTTGGAAATAATTCTTGTATTTAATTATTCGTAAATAATTATTTTTTGAGATTGCAAGTACCAGGATTCGAATTCGGGTCCTGCAAAATGTGAACTAATCCAAAGCCGTACTTGACTTTTTTGTTCGCATATTTTTCTGGAGTTTTGTTACTTTTGCTATGAAAGTTTTTTATTAACAATTTTACTTGCTGTGTTTATATATATTAGAAGTTCTAATTTAGAATGAAACCATAAACCAACTGTAGAATAATTAAATTAATTAATTAATTATATTTTTATTTTTATTCATAAAATTTCAATACTATTCTTTTCGTTTTTTTTTTTTTTTGCAGTAGGTGGAAAGTATCGAAAGCCACAGTGTGAGACTTGAACCCACTAAAACCACCTCTTGGGAATGAATGGAGAAGATTCCCACAGCAATGTGGAAACTTCATTCCAGTAATCAGGTGAGAGAGAAAATAGATAGACTTAATACCTAGTAAACTAGGTTTATCTAAACCAGAAAGGAAGGGCATGAATTAAGGAGAAAGGGTAGTGAAGAAGGGGATGGGGTTACGGCTAAAAAGCGGAGAAGAGATCAGAGATAAATCTTGTGACCAGGGTCACGAAAGCCGCGGTTATAAAGGGGAATGGCGAGAGGATTATGATCCACCTCGTCAAAATAATGGAAAAGGTATTCAGGAGGTTTAAAGCGAGAAGCTAAAACAAGGTCTACTGGGAGAGTGTTAGGACTGGAGACGTCAGGAGGTACTATTCTTTTCGTTTCTTTTTGTTCTTTCTTATGTATAGAACCTAATCTAGGAACGTAATGCTGAGAAAGTCATGCTAATGTTACTCAAATAATCGCACGGGCGAGACCATTACACTTATGTAAATATTTGTTTCTTTTTTTATAGCAGTTATTAATTATTTTTGGTAAAAGTTTTTATATTTATTTATTTACTTATTATTAAAAAATTTTCACAATGATAACACCTAATTTACTTAATTTTTATCTAATTTAACCTACTCGAAATTCTGATAAATACCGACATTCGCTGCCACACTGACATAATTTACTATTTTCCTCAATTTTCCACCAATTTACTCGAACTCGCACGGCTATTTGAAACCACCTCATTAGTTTTATATAAACTATGATATTAGTTTGTTTTACTTATATATCCAGATGGGTGGAACAAAAGAGTGGGTGGTAATCAATTGAACCCAGCTTAGGTTTAAGTGAAGGAATCTTGCCATCTGAATGGAACGAGCCTAAATGAATATGGCTCAAATTATTGTGTGTAAGGGTAAGACTGCATATGATCAATATCTTCGTGTCTATGAGTGACATTTTTACCATTTGCTTATATCCGAATCCAAATTTTGACAGGATAAGTACATGGCTGTACATAACAGATATGTTGCATCATCAGAGATATCAGGCTAAGTTTTTTTGAAGACTTTGTTGCGTTGTAACCATTATCCGTAAGCGATTGTCGAGATTGGACTCCAGTGTAGGTATCGACGTATTTCTAATCCACGAATAGATCGTATAACAACCGTGGCGTCACCGTGACTCAATTTCATTATTTAAAAATCAAACCATTTAATTTAACAATTTATTTATTTTACTACTAAAAAAAATTGATAGATTTACAAATTTCATTGAAATTACACACACAGAACGTTTTACGCTTTTATTGTACCTTGTGCAGCTCTTTCAATTCTTCGATCAACGATGTGTCTCAACCTGCGAGCGGGTTTAATTAATTCACTTTCATCCATTGGATCTATTATTTGTCCCTTTTTCGTTATAACATCTGGGCGAGTTAACATACGAAAAGCTGTTTCGGGCACAAAATTACGACCAATAGGTGCACGTATACTGGCCTCATAAGCCTTAACAGACTTAAATGGAAATGGTACATCCGAGACAAAATGTTCACGCGCTTCTTTACAGACTTCTTCGTTAATATAAACACCTTTTTTATTATCATCCTGACGTTTTTCTTTGTTAGGAAATTTCAACACAAGACGTTTATTTCGTTCAGCTTGTAGTTCCTTCGAAACACCAGCGCCAGCCCATGCACCCCAACCAGGCAATGTTAATTGTAATTCAGTATTCTTGAGTTCTGTGTCTTCCGCTTTTTCTTTAGTGAAATCGGCAATAATATCATCATCTTCAAATGCTTCGGTAATTGTCATTTGTTGTGTAAATTCGTCGTCCTCATCACTTCCTTCTATATCGACATCATCCATTACCGAATTAACAATATCAAATCCTCCAACATTATGTTTCAATTTAATAGTGGCTAATTTATTAGGATCAATGGTATCGCTTTGTGCAGATTCTTCGTGTTTGGTGGATATATTATCAATATTAGTAATATTTGTTAAATTATTCTCATTTGAAGAGGAATCGGTTTTGTTTTCCTCAGCATTTAATTCCTCATCAATTATGGGTTTGGTCGCTTGTTCTTTAAATGAAAGATTCTTTAAATTCTTCAAAGCATCTTTCTCCTTTACAACAGCACTCTTTTTCATTTTCTTGACTTTTATGTTTTTAAGTTTTTTTGCCGTCTCCGCTATGTGGTTTAGTTTTTCTTTTAATTTTATTCGTATTTGTTCTTCTTTTGCATCGAATATATCATCAATAGATTCCTCAATTTTAGCAGCTGATTCGTTAATAGGTTCAACCACCCAACCATTTTCTATTTTAACCTTTTTCTTCGCTTTAACTTTGGTGTTTTTATTAATCGGTTGAGAGTTATCTCCTTCCTGTCCATTATTTTCTAGTTTTAAACGCTTACCTTTTATATTAGTCGTGTTTTCGATAAGATTAAGACGCTTTTTATTTTTTTTTATATCTTTATTTTCAGATCTTATTTGAACTTCCTTTTCCTCGTCTTTTATATCTTCTTCAGTTTTATCTTCATTATCTATGTTTGTTGGAAAATCCTTTTTATATTCTTCTAAGAGTTTCTGATTCTCGTTTCTCTCTAACCAATATTTACGCCAATTTTCATCAGTTGCTATATTTTCTGTATTACTCTTGGCAGCCTGAGCTTTCGTCCATGGATTAAACGGATCAAAATCATCATCGTCTTGCTTCTTGATTTCATTCTCAGATTCCTGTTCTTCCTCACTTTCACTATCATTTTTCTTCTGAGTTATTTGCCGACTCATTTGCAATTGTTCGGCTAAATCTTTGCGTACATCCTTATCATATTTAGCACGCACTTGTAGATTTTTTGCCCAAGAACCAGTATTTTTATGACGCAAACTAGCCCGTTCAAGTACACGACTTTTCTCTATTTCATTTAATTTCTCTAATGCGGCCTCGGGATTTGTTTTTTGCAGCAACTCAAATTGTTTCATCTGTTCTTGTATCTTCTGCCGTTTCATTAATTTGTGATACTTTTTGGATTTTATTTTATTTTGCAAACGTGCTTTAGCTGATTTTTGTGATTCACGCATTTTTAAATACGCCAACTCTTTACGCTTAGCTATAAGTTCCTGACGTACCATTTCTCTTTTATACAATCTCTGTTTTTCGTTTTCTAATTCTTTTTCATCTGTTGTATCACCCATTTGTTCCCTTTTTAAAGCTCTTAACTTGGCTTCGCTTGCTTCCATTTCAAGCATTAAGTCAGATTTCAGAGACGAATTAAATGGTTTTGCGTGTGCTGATGTATCAACATAAATTGTCTCAGTTTGCAAAGGAAACACCTGTTGAAAATCCAAAATAAAAAAATAAGAAAATATAATTTAAAGAATTTACAAACTTGCGTCTCAGAACTACGATTTTTAGCAACTACTGCATCCCAGCGTGCTAAGGTTTTCTTTGTGTTCTCATAGGCAATGGTGCGGCGTATACGATCTGCTGCAGTTTTTTCCAGTGGTTTTTCAAGAACCTTCTTTGTTGATTGTACATTTTTCAACAGTTTTCCGGTATCTAAATGTTTTTTAGTTTTCTTTAGCACTTGGACGACATCATTAACTGCAAGATTAGACTTGGGTACATCTGTGGATAACTTCGCACGCTTTACCAACTGAAATTCGTCGTGCTGATTCCTTATCTCGCCACGAGTAGCCTTGCGTATATGTTGGGTTGTTTGCAAATTGCTAATGGCTTGTAGTAAACTTTTATGAGTTTTGGGATCATACTGCTCCTCAACGTCACTCATGTTTAATGAATTTATTTAATTTTAATAAAACGTTTACCGCAGCAATAACACAACAACACACCATGCGTTCGCTCTGCGAATGACAATCTAAATACGGTCTCTCTCTCTTTACTTAGTGATGTGCATCTAAATTGTCAAAGTCAAAGAAAAATAAGTAATTGGTACTAAACCCTTTATAAACGGATATAAGTCATATATATAAATCATGAATATTTATAAATATTGAAATATGAGTAATATATATACAACAATAAATAAGAAATATAATTTATGTTACAAATATCCTATTAAATAATTTAAGTGTAATAAACTACAAAAGATAATGACAAGATATATTGTTTTTATATAAATTAATAAATTTATTTCCGATTTCTATTTAGCATGTTAAACTCATTAAACCTTAAATAATAGTCTCAAAATATTGTCAAATATTCTATTATTAATATTTTGTTTGGATATGTGTATATTTTATAACATTTTGATATTATTAAATATCAAAATTTAAAACTTTAATTCGTTACATTACTAATACCAACATAATATTAAAGTTATATAAAGTCGTTTAAATATTAAAGTTATATAAAGTCGTTTAAACCATTATTTTAATACATTCTTAAATAGTTTTAAAAACAAAATGTTCAACTATTTATTAGTTTATTATTTTTTTTTTTTTGTTATGTCATATTATTTACTTCTTGTTTTTCTAGCTTAATGAGTGTGTATTTTAAAAATACGCTAATAGAGTCACAGAAAAAACTTTTTTGTACTTTGGTATTTTGTTTTTGTATAGAACTATATTTCTATTTAGCAATTTAAGACGTGTGCGAGTTAGGCTAAGTTGCGTTCTAAGTGAGAAAAATTCTAAGTTATGTCAATAATGTAGTGATGTCTCAATACGTATTGATAAATGGCTAAATGTGTGCAGTGCAAAAAATCCCAAAAAATCTCCCATTTGGTTTTGCATCAACTTAGCCTAATTCGCACACGTCCTTAATACTTTCGATATTTAGCACGATTTAGATGTAAATGATTGTTATTATTAAGTTTAGGGAATCTTGCACTATGATTCAAAGTTTTAATATGATCCCTCCCTTTTTAATATATTCCCTGAATCATTGAATTCAATTAACTCAACCGATTTAAGATGCCCAACAATGTTTCCAAATATATGTTGTGGCATCTTAAGAGTAAACCGCTAATCTTGTTAGATGGTAATACAGTCCAGACTGCCCTGTCAGATTGCCTCCAATAAGTATTAGGTTGCTTTTTTTTTATTTTTATATAAACTTTAAAGTTTAAAGTTCCTGATAAATAAACTCAATATATTCTTCCGCTTTTATAAAATTTTTCTGAAATGAATAAAAAGAACTTGCTCTTTATTAAAACATTAAATGGGCTCAGAAACGAGCCCATGCGGAAAAATGGCAAAATTGTTTGTCTTTTTATTACTGAAAATGCAAATATGACAGAGTTCATTAAATAATTATCTGATTAATGCGGTAAAGAATAATAAGCTTTTCAAGACTGTCTATCGTTAGTCCTCATGTCATCCAATGTGAATTGAGTGCCTTGATTATTGTTTAACTATTAGTAAGGACAGCTGTACTCTAATTCTTGCAGTTCAAGGTTCAAGGAAAAGCGAGGAAATTATGGTAAAACTTTATGGCATAAATGTTGTGAAAGACATTCCTTAATGTGTTGGAGGACTTCTGTTGAAGTTGATGGGTCTAATATTCTTTAGCTTATATTAAAAATCACAAACTATATAAAGATATATTTAACTTTTTGAAATAAATAAAAAAAATTTACTTTATTTAATACAAAACTGCAAATGATATTCCTCAATGTGTTGGAGGACTTCTGTTGAAGTTGTTGGGTCTAACATGCTTTAGCTTATAATAAAAATAATTTATATAATATTAAGATATATTCAACTTTTTTGTATAAATGAAAAAAAATTTTGTTTTATTCAACTACAAAACAATAATAATTTTTAAAAATCAATGGAGCGTCTTCTTCTGATATGAAGTTCCTTTCCGGCTTTGTTGAAGCAAATGGGTTTATAGTAGGCGGTAATATTATGTTAAGACATCTACCACTATCTTGTAAAATCTGTTTCATATCCAAAGGACTTTCGTAAGCAGTGTATGATGTCACGATAATTGGACATTTTAAATTAACAGCGGCATCAATAGTTTCTGGCCAACTATCTTCCATTTGAAAACCAGTGGAACGGTATAGTCCAGCATTGAAGAAACAAACTGCAAAATAAAGGAATTAAAAAAATATTTGGATTAAACGATTAAACAAATGAGGGCATAAGATTTTAATATTGAAGCTGTAAGTCAAGCAAAAGCTAAATGAGAATAGTTTAAGAGATAGAAACTAATCACTTGAGATATTCCATCTAGAAGCTTACTTAAATTTGGTTGAGAAAATGTCTTTCCTTTACGATAATCATGATAAACAATATTTTCAAAATAATAATTCAATTCACGACCATTTTTACGACATACACGGCAGCATCTAAATGAAAAAGAAATTTAAATATTGTTTAATTGTTTTATTTATAATAATATAAATATGTTTTTTACTTAGTTTTTTGCAGTTGTTCAAAACTTATATTTGTCTGTTTCAGTTCAGGTCCTATAAATACTATATTTAATATTTTTACATGTGGTGTTATGTGTAAAAAAAATAATTCCCATTTATGAAGCGTATCGACTTCGAACTCAATTTCAGCCCCTGTAAGACAGCAAATTAGATTTAGATATACATGAGTATAGTACCAATCTACAAACCAATTAAATGTATAGTGACTTCTTCATTACTCTTTAACTGTTCGCAAAGCTTTAGTGCATACCAAGCCGTCAAAGGACCCGTTGCAATTTGACTTAGAACTGCATATTCACAGGATTCCTTGATATCTAAAAGAGATTCAATATTTTTTTAATGTATATTTCAAAAAAATATTATATATATATAAGTTATACCTAAATTCAATTTGAAAAACATGTGCTGTGTATTTGAAACGGCGCCTGGTAGATCCTTTAAAACTTTGGACGGTAATGTAGGTTCAAGTCTTCCATATTTCTCTTGGAATATTATTAATTTCTTAAATAATCTAAATGGTTCGCACCATAAGATATGATCTGCTTTTAAATGATCTGGTTTATCTTTACAGAATGCTACCTGAAACCACAAAAAAGTAATACAGATTTTAATATTATTTTACCAAATAAATATATATTAGCGCATTTTAGTAATAATAAAATTATTATATATACAATTTATATAAGTAAAACTGTTATTATTCATATAAATTTATAATTTATCCTTTATTTACAAATTTATTTATAAGTCATATATGTATAAAGAATAAGAGCAAAATTATTATTAAAAAAATAGATATATTAATCCTAAACATCGCATGCACGATATCCATGTTTTACGTATTTTAATTATAACTGACTTCACTTGCTAATAAAAATATTATTTATGATAATTAATATATATTATTGTTGTAAACTAACTCTAGAAACCTAACTTACTAGTTACATTAAATACTGAAGGAATCAGGGTTCGTATTTGCTCAGAGCGTGAGCCCAAAATTTGCGTGTATTGAAAAACTGCTCATCAGCGTGAGCTTTCAATCTGCTTATATTGAAGAGCTGCTCATGAGATGTTCCAAGTCGAGAACTCACCCCATGAGTATTTATTATATTGAATAGTCTTTGCTGCTGTAATTGCGCTCGCTCGTATGCATGAGCAATCGTATGAAAAAAGTTTCTTGCCCGCTAACGAGCTGTGGGAGAATGAGCAGAAAAGAGCCGCTCATGGATAGGCAAATACCAACTCAGAAAGGAATACTAACAAGTTGAGTTAGGAAGATATGGTTCTAAAGTTTACTATTCGTAATATTTAGTTTAGATAGTCAGATTAGTAAGTATTAGGTCACGGTTCAAACAAATAGCTTAACTATTACAGTTAGTACAGTTATAGTACAGTTAGTCAATTAGCAGGGCAATTCTGACAACGATCTTTCACCTCATCACTCTCAAAAATCTTGGTAAAGATCGATTGAAAAATATTTCGTATTCCAGTATCGATCTATTGTAAGACCTTATAGCTGAAAGCTCTTTGTTTATAAAAATTTGATATTAACTGACCTGTCCGCACTTTTTGCAATCCATTAATTTACTAAATCGATATTCCCTACATTTGTTGTTGGTACATATTCTTGGAAATAACACTATTTCTCTTTCGGTAGGTGTTAAGGTGCGATTGATTATAGATTCCACTTGTCGGACAGTGACAATTCGGTAAGATCGAAATTGATCCATTGTAAACACATCGCATTTGTAGAATATATATCCACCTGTTATATATATATAAATATAATTTCACATTTCATTAACTTATATTGTATTAATTATATATTTATAAATTAATTAAATGAATTGCATATCATTAATTTTCGCACATATTCAAATAATTTTGCACATTTTTTTTTTATAGATTTCAATTAATATTTAATTCATAGCCATTAACCAAAAATGTTCTCATTAAAATATTCATTTAACATATCCGATATGATTTGTGTGTCTTGTTAATTTTTTTTTTCGTTTTTTGAAATATTAGGTATGACCTACCACAATTTTCGGCAACTTGCCTCAATGCATAGCAGCATTGCCGGTGCTGCTCGTCGCTCTTCATGTGTTCCGGATTACAGTAGAAAACCATTCTGCAGCGTTTACACTCGTGGAGCATCTGTCCATTTAAATCACATTTGCAGTACTTGAAGAAAAACACATTTTTAAAATTAAATTAAATAGCGATAAATCTTTATACGAATAGAATATATTTATTTAGGTATATATAAATAAAAGCAGACAATTTTTTTTCTCTGTAAACTTACATTGCACAGCGAAACGGAAAAGTATTGACGTGGTCTATACACATACTCAATGTATTCCTCTTCATCGTCGGTAGTCTCGACATCGGTAATCGGCGTTTGATTAATAAGTTTTTGTAAATTCTCTAAAAATGTATTTGATAGATCGATGGAATCTGTAAATTATTATGTTATTAAGAATTATTATTATTATTGTGTTTAAATATGATTATTATTTAAGAATATTAAAATCAATATTTTTACAAATTCATATTACAACGTCATGAATTAAATTTTAAAAATAATAAGTTCTCAACATCATTTACAAAATAAATTGAATGATAAATAGAATATATAGCATTGCATATAAATTGCCATTCTAAATTGCATTCATATCAATTACGAAGTAAATCCGTATACTACCAATCAGTGGGTAAAATAAATTCTTAACAAAAATGTTAATTAGAGCTTTTGCTAACAGAAGTGTTATTTGTATCAATGGATCGAGTCTAAATGTAATCAACTAACGAAACCCCCATAGTGTATTATTCTATGCAGTTAATATTCAATTTGGCTGAAGTATTCGTAAAAATAACTAAAAGTAACGTGCCAGCTAAAAGCATCAAAATCTACTCCACCAGTTTCTACTTTATTAACTGAAATGGTTAAAGTACACAATAGTATCTGCAGACATTATATATTTCCTCAGCAAATTATCTCATGAAATATAGGTCGTGTGCGAGTTAGGCTAAGTTGCGTTCTAAATGAGGGAAATTCTAAGTTGTGCCGGTAATGTAGTGATGTGTCGATACGTGTTGATAAATGGCTAAATGTGTGCAGTGCAAAATATTCCAAAAAATCTCCCATTTGGTTTAGCATCAACTTAGCCTAACTCGCACACGTCCATAGTATTCTAACCACATTCTTCAGATTTGTTAATTATCTGGTATTCCTAGATACCATTTAAAATAAAATATATACATTCTTTCAATAAACAAACCGCATTATTACCGATTTATAATTCTGTAAAGAGAAAACCTACTGAAAAACATTTATTTTTTCTGAACCAGAAACGAGCACGATATATTATATTGCTACAATTTGACTTTTTAGGCATGTTAGTTCCATCAAAATCCAGTTGATATAGGTATTTTTTATTAAACGATATTAAGAAGGACACAGTTTTTGTTATGGTAAAGGTGAGTTGGTAACATTTTGATATTGTATGTAGCAAAGAAAGTATTTGTATATATAATAGATTTCAGCATAATGTCTTCCTTAACAAACGGTTTCCTTTCAAAAGCATTTAATTATTTTTATCCAATTTATTTTTACTTACTCGTCTGATGTTTCAATCTCTGTGAAACTGAAAGGAAACTGCTGAAGATGTTATAAGAAATTTTGGTATTCCATAAACTTTAGTTTGCTGCTAACAGTCATGTCAAAAATATGCCACAAATCGATAGAAACATGTTCCATTTTTAATAGAATAGACTCTAATGACACTCTGCCTCCCAAGAGACACGACTTACTTAGCCGTATGAAGTAGTTTAACTACTTCTATGGCTACTTTTTGACATAATATTTTATGTTTTAATATTGATAAGAAAATCAGAGTAGATATATATGCAAAATATATACACATTATCGACAGTTTGTTTAGAAGTTACTGGCATCGATATTAAAACCAAAGATATAAGTGAAGTTATAAATAAACAAAAAAATACAATACAAAATAAGTATTAAATTCATAAATCAATACAACCACGAAAACAGACCTTGCAGTGTAATTTTTATATATAATATAAACTAGAGTTCGAACTACAAAATTACTTTCTCGAAAAAAGCACATAAATCTCAATACATTGCACTTTAATCTCAGACAACCTTATATATGCTACAAATATCGAACAGAAAAGTGATGTGAAAAATTTCTACATTTATAGGTTTTATAATAGAACCTTAGTAGGATCACGATAGTTGATATGGATAGATAAAGCAAGTAAATCAATAATGCTTTTCACATAAAAATCAACATAATGAGGAAATATGTAGAATACACAGTGGTGCCAAAAATTACACCACTTAAACAATGGTGTTTTTGGACAGCAATATTTTAACATTTAACATTATTTTAACAAAAAGTCTCTACAGCTGACCTTACTATTTGTTAGCCAATTTAGTTTACATATTTAGGATTATTCCGATTTCCTAGACACGCCGATTTAACAACTGATTTTTAATAGAATCAACTGTTTTGAAAAATAATTTAATTTCGATATATGCCAATATAGGAAAGTACTCTAAATATAGAAGTTTAAAAGTGTAATTTTTATATATATATTAATTATACAAATCACAATTAAAAAGAACTACACATACCAAATGCTGGGACTACTTATTATATATAGTTTTAACGTAAAAATTTTGAACTTTAATGTACAAAACTCGAAAACTGAACCATTTTGACGTAAAACGTCGTGGAAAAATTTAATCTGAATAGATGTCTTTATTGAAAGCTGTTGCTAAATTAGCGTATCTAGAAAAATGGAAAAACACAGATATGTAGCAGGGGCTGTACGAAGAATGAAAACATCGATTAAATTAAAAAACTAAAGCTTGAAAATAGCTATATAAGTCTTCGGAACTTGGCTGAAAAGAAGGCCATATCGTTAAGTTCATTCATAACATTATTACTGTTATTATGGGCAAGAAACACATCGCCACATAAATGGTGCTAAATGATATCAATTTTGTTTAGAAAGATCATCCAAAGTAGATTACTACAGACACGTTTTCCCGAACCTTTATAAATCCTATGCTTATGATGCGCTTAAAAGCTGGCGCAAACTACGCAATAAAAATTATATATACAAGATTGGGTCAAACTCTGGCATAGTTATATTGTACTCAATAGGACCTATTTTGAAGATGAGAAAATAAATTAAATAAATTAATAAAATTGACTGTTATATATTAAATATATGGTATTAATTTCGGAAATCAGAAATATTGTCCTTTGAACTCATATTTCTAAGTACGCGAACAGATTACCTATAGAAGCTATAACCTATGTTTATTACTTTTTACTTTGAAATTAGATTAGAACAATGAGAAATATAATATAAATATAAAAATTATAATAATTAGTTATGGTTGCCTGCAATCATTCAAGGCATACTTAAAATATTAGAATAAATCTATTTTGATCTATTTAAAATAAATTTTATTTTCAAATTTGAATTTATGGCATGCAATTAGTTAAGAAAAACAGAAACTCGTCTGTTCATTTATATGATTAATACTAATTGCACATTCTCAGACCTATTCTTACAGAGACCCACCATTTGCCATTACGTGCTCGACTTGTTTTTGTAAATTCGTTATAAACGCACTATTTTTAATTGAATTTTTCGCAACATTTTCTTTTGATTTTGATTTTTTCACTTCTGTCAAATTTTCACTTGAATTTGGCTTAGAACATTTTTTGTTAGATTTTTCACTAGAAATTTGATTTTGATTTTGATTTTTTAAAAATTTTTCACGAATTAATTTTTGTATAATCTTAATAGCTTCATTATCTGTTGAACTCTGCTGTGTCTGAGCCGCTTCAGATTTTAGTGGAACTTCACTGTTTTGTTCGTCTTCCGGACCGATATTTAGTTCTGATACCCGATCATTTACACTATTACAATTATCGGCTGGAGTTTCACAAGTGAGACTCGCCTCAGCATTCAACCTATTGGCTTTATGTTTGGGCCTATTACGTTGCCTCGGTTTTTTCTTATGACCACTCATTTTAGTAAGTAATTTTTTAATTCAAATAAAAAATTATGCAATTTTCCTTTGCTAATCCGTTGAAGACCAACGCATGCAATCTTGAGAATTCACGAAACTAAAATGCACCAAATTCTATTTGTTTTATAAACGAAATAGGCTTGTACTAGCTAAATTCTTTTTCTTTCGAACTGCAGTACATAATGTAAAATGTAATCATTCATTGTGCATGGGCAAGTCTTATTCTTTCTTTAAAATTGGCCAACTGCCATTTCATTTTATTTGTTATTTCTTAATGCTATGGTTAGTTGTGTTAGCATAAATAGCCGGCATTTAAAACAAAGGTGTATAATTAGTAACCTACCTTAGGCTGGGGTAGGCTCCTGGCAATATAGAACACAAAAACAATTTATAAATCCTTCCTTCAACAATAAGACCTGATCGAATACAAGAAAAAACTGTTATTAATATAAAAAATTTTTCCTTTTGCTTTATTCTTGTAATTAATAAAGAAAGAAGTAGTTACGTTACTTCTTTATCATTATAAATCTTTATAAACTTAAACTATTTAAATATATTTTCGTATCTTGACTTACTGGTCCTGCGTAGTAGAACTCAGAGACTTTGTAGTCTCTGAGCAGGAAAAGCAACCATACAATCTAGTCTTATAAGCTCTTGATTGGAAAAGTTACAAATAAGTTTGTTTTCTCGATAAAAATTAGAGGATTGTTTAAGCTCCGCGCTATTACCTCTAACTTTGCTTATCTCTTTGTTGGTAAAAATTTTAGAGTCAAAACCCTTATAGGTTTTCTATTGCTCTACTTGTTTTTTCTATTCATTACGTATTTATACTTATACTTCTATAAGAAGAATTCTTAAACAAATTTACAAAAAAAAAATTTTAAATATTCATACCGCATCTAATAATTCATTATTTTTTTATATATAAGGTCCTATGCTTCAATGGGAGATACAGGAATTGCTGATGATGATGATTTTTATAAGAACATGTTAGAGAAACATTCGGACACAACTAAGCTTGTGGGGCTTAAAATCAACTGAACAAAAACAAAAACACTTTGTATCAATGTGATCAGTCAACAACCTTTTACTATCGTTGGTCATAGATTAGAGGACGTCAACAATTTCTGTTATATTGGGATTGATTGATGCCAGTATGGAAGTCCAGTACCTGCCTACCCGCACAATATTGAACATTTATAACTCTAGCGTCAAATCGGCGATGTTGTATGGGTCGTGGGAGGTAGCATACAAAAACTGGAAGTCTTCTCCAATCAATGTCTGCGTAGAATATTGTGCATATCGAATAACAACCTCAGAGACGGCAAACCAAAGATAAGTTTCTCAGGAGATAAGCATAGAGAATATTTTTAGTAATAAGAATATTATAGTGTATAAAAGAACAATCAATATAATACTATAATTGTCTTAAAACAACACATATAGAACCTAATGTGGTCATCATTCAAATTTATACTTAATTTAAAATATTTATCGAAGCATATGTATTTTATTGACTAATATATACTCACAATGTAAAAGAATCAAAAATGTTACAACCTGAAGTCGTACTTGTTTTTCTTGTTTAATATTACAAGCATCGATTATTACATCGATCTAACTTTACCAATTTGTAAGTGCAATTTTTTGGCATATGCTTGAAGCACATACTAACATATGTCAATATTCTATTTCAAATGCTTAGATTCAATATATGTTATCACATACGTTCCTATTTTATGTGTTTGGATTCGAAAAGAACCATCAGTAATACTTTTTCCTTTTTTTTTTTGAAATGGTATTTGCGCATATATTTAAAGCTGGTTATTTAATAATAATATATAATAACCATACTTCACATCCGTATACAAAAACTATGCAAGTAATAGATTTATATATACGGATTTTTAATATTCTTCATAGAATCTTAGACTTACAGAACTCTATATACTTTATATACTTTCAAAATATAGAGTTCTTTAACTTTTATGAAAATAAACTTGAATTTTTTTTGTATTGCTATGATTGTATTATTATTTAAAGTTAACAACATGGTCAGATATTAATTTGCTCGTTAGTAATGGTAATTCTTTATTAAATTCCGTTTATTTGAAACGTTATAACTTGATTTATAAACTAAATTTAAGATTTGTATAACCAATCATATATATAGAGCACATAGAACACATGTATTTCTTATATGGTAAAAATTTTACTTATTTGATTTTTTTCTAATTCCCTGATGTACACAAAGACAATAATTACTCCCATTAGTGAATATTTACTTTTACTCATCTGACGACATGATCCTCTTTCTGATTTTCTTCCCACATTTATACCGCTTGATGTATCTTACCGATGGACCACTATCCTTTTTTTTTTATTTTTTTTTAATAATTATTTAATTAGGATTTTATATTTGATATAAATTTGATGATATGATATATAATTTTATATTTTATTACATCTGTAGATTTTCTAACAATGAATCAAAATACAACAATTCAATCAATATGTGTTGTTATGTAAAGTACTTTTTAAATATTAATTGCCTGGCAACTCTGGCCTGTCATTATTCTATATTCCTTTTGTAATTATTATTCATTATTCATTTATAGTATAGTTAATAAAGCGAAGTAAAGAACATGTTAAAAATACATCGGACCGTGTTTCACTTTTGCTAAAAATATATAATAGGTTATGGGCCCAGGACGCTTCCACTGCGAAGTAAAAAGCACGTGCACATAAAAAAGTAGATTTAATACGTGTATAAAAATGTCGGGAACGGTGATTCGAGTTGAACCGCTTAACGCGGAAAACTACGATACATGGAAATTACAAATGAAAGCTATTCTCATAAAAAACGATTTATGGTCATATGTCGAAGGTACTGCGTCGTGTCCAACGGGCGAAGCGGCTGCAAAATGGATCAGCTTTGATCAGAAAGCGTGTGCTGATATAATGTTATCAGTAAGTGCATCAGAATTAAGATTAATTGCAGAATGCACAAATTCAAACGAAATGTGGATGAAACTACAAGCCACATATTCATCAAAAGGGCCTGCGCGCAAGGCGACGTTGCTGAAAAAGGTTGCACTTTCGCGCATGAAGGAGGGTGAAAAGGTTAGACAGCACCTCAACGATTTTTTTGAAGCCGTGGCAAAATTAAAGGAAATTGACGTCACCATCGGGGATGAGCTTCTGGCCATACTGCTCCTATATAGCCTACCCGATTCTTTTAATACTTTCAGGTGCGCGTTAGAAACGCGCGACGAGCTGCCAAAGCCAGACATACTTCGAGTGAAAATATTAGAAGAAGCTGAATCGCAAAGGACAAAAGAAGACAGACATAGTGATGAAAACTCTCTATACATAAATCGAAATAAAAGCCGAAACGCAAAACAAAACAAACGATACAGTGATTCTAAACGAAACAAACAATGTTTTAATTGTGGCAAAATCGGACATTTTGCACGTGAATGTAAAAATAAAGCAAAAGCTGAAAATAACACGCAATTGAAAAATTCGGAAAAACCTGTAAACAATAATTTTAGCTATCATGTTGAAGATGCATTTATTAGCTCAATAAAAGAAAATTATTGGTGCCTAGATAGTGGATGTACTGCCCATTTAAGTGCAAACCGTGAATATTTTACAGACTTTCAAAAATCGAATAAAGTGCTTAACTTAGCAAACGACAACACAACAAATATAAACGGCGTCGGTAAAATGAAAATAACTGTAGACGTATACGGTCGTGATAATAACATTGATCTTAAAGAAGTTCTATATGTCGAGGACTTGCGTACAAGTCTACTTTCTGTATCAAAAATAGTAGACAGCGGATATGAAGTGCATTTTCGCCCTTCAGATGCAATCGTATTGGACAAATATCAGAAGGTTATAACTAGAGCGAAAAGATGTGGAAATTTTTTTATTGTTGAAAATAAAAATCATTTTGCACAAGTTGCTGAAGAAAAATGTGACATTGAAAAGTGGCACCAGAAAATGGGCCACATAAATGAAAACGATCTTAAAAAAATTGGCTAGTAATAACCTAGTACACGGATTAAAATTAAATCCTAAACAAAAACTTCCGACTTGCGAAATTTGTATTAGTGAAAAACAAATACAAAAACCATTTCCTAAGAGTAAAGAAACTAGAACAAGTGATTTATTAGAGATCGTGCATAGTGATGTGTGCGGACCAATGAGAACAGCATCAAATTCGGATGCAAAATATTTCGTAACATTTATTGATGACAAATCACGCTATTGTCAAGTATATTTTATAAAACAAAAATCCGATGTATTAAATGTATTTAAGCAATACAAAAGAGCAGTAGAAACATTTACGGGTAAACGAATTAAGGCTTTACAATCAGACAATGGTAGAGAATACGTTAATTCTGAATTTAATTTATTCTTGAGGAAATTTGGTATACAAAGACGCTTAACTGCTCCATATACGCCGGAGCAAAATGGTATTGCTGAACGTAAAAACAGAACTCTAGTTGAAATGGCCCGTTGCATGATGAAACAAGCTGAAGTTTCGCCAAATTTTTGGGCAGAGGCCATAAATACAGCGTGCTATATTCGGAATAGGTGTCCTACAAAAGCATTGAACGGTGTAGTACCGCACAAGTTGTGGACTGGTAAAATGCCAACTATTGTACATTTTCAAGTATTTGGCTCTAAAGCATATGTCCTAAAAAAGGATAAGACTAGAGATAAATTCGATTCTAAGTCAGAACCTTACATGTTTGTTGGATATTCAAACGAAGCGAAAGCCTATCGGCTGTGGTCACCTACAAAACGAAATATAACAATAAGCCGTGATGTCGTGTTCGTAAACAAAAATATCTATCATAATAAATACGAAAACATTTATATTAACAATGAAAACGACTGCCAAAAAAATGATTATATCGATATTGCGTTCGAAAATTGTGAAAATCAGAAACTGTCGGTCAATCCGAAAATTGTAGAAAATACAGATACGCGAGAAGAAAACTCCATTCGTAGAAGAGGTCGTCCGAGACTTATTCGCACAAATTCACGCGGTAGGCCTCGAAAAGAATATTACACGTCAAATCGGAATGGTGAAGAATCATCCAACGAAGACGAAAATACAAGTTCAGTAAGAAAAATTGGTGATAAAAACCATTCAGATGATGAACCTGACAACAACGTTTTTGAAGATTGTGAAATGGCGTTTCTCACTACATATCAAACTCCAGTAACGATTTTGGAGGCACTTGAAAGCGATGAAACAAATTCCTGGTCAAAAGCGCTAGAAGACGAAATGGTGGCACAACTAAAGAATAAAACATGGGAAGTGGTCGAAAGACCGAAATCACGAAGAGTTATTGGGAATAGATTCGTGCTTCGAACTAAAGATGACGGAAAACAGAAAGTACGATTAGTAGCGAAGGGTTTTGCACAACGACCAGGTGAAGACTTTCATGATACGTTTTCTCCAGTCGCTCGTTCAACATCTATAAGACTACTTGCGGCACTGGCAGCAAAAATGGATTTGGAGATCCATCAGATGGATGTCATTACAGCATACCTAAATGGAGAGATCGAAGAGAGTGTCTTCATGGAAATTCCCGATTATCTTATACCATTCCTGAACAAAGTTGTTTCATCAAAACCAGTGGGAAAAACTTCAACAATATTGTGTGGAAAAGTTAAAGAAACAGCGCAGCATTGGTTAAAGGCGATTAAATCAAGTAAGTCACCTGTATGTTTATTAAAGAAAGCTCTTTATGGACTCCGTCAGTCTGGGCTATCATGGTACATGAAATTGACAAAGAAACTACAGAATATGGGTCTAAGTGCAGTACAACAGGATCCTTGTGTATTCACTAAGCGAGAAGGCAACGACATTGTTTTGATGACAATATATGTAGATGATTTACTAATAGCGTCCAATAATAAGTTTCGTATAAAAGAAATAAAGGCTGCACTTGCGAATGATTTCGAAATGAAGGATTTGGGAATAGTAAGTAATTGTCTTGGCATCGAGTTTCATCAAAATTTAAGCAAGCATCAAGTTTTTCTTTCACAAGAGAAGTATGCAAAAAGCATCATTGAAAAGTTCAATATGAAAGACTGTAAACCAGTGAAGACTCCCATAGAATTGAACATTAAGTTAACGAAACCAACAAAAATTGATGAAGGTGTTATGAAGATGTATCCCTATCAAAGCTTGATAGGAGCATTAATGTACTTAGCTGTTACAACTCGACCTGATATTGCGTTTGCTATAAACTTTCTTAGCCAGTTCAATTCAAATTATAACGTGGAACATTGGAAAGCAGCAAAACGAATTCTAAGATACCTTAAAGGTACAAGCAACTATGGTCTATTGTATGAGAAAAACAATGAAGAATTGTATGGTCTGGTTGACGTTGATTGGGGCGCTGACTTAAACGATAGACGTTCATATTCAGGGTATGCGTTCATTATATCAGGAGCAGCGATATGTTGGGAAGCTCGAAAGCAACGTACAGTAGCGCTTTCAAGCACTGAATCAGAATATATGGCCATATCTGAGGCCACAAAAGAAGCGTTATATCTAAAGGCAATCCTTGATGATGTTGGCATTACAAGTAAAACAATTGAAATCTTTAATGATAATCAAAGCGCTCAAAAATTAACGGAAAGCTTCAGGTATCATCCACGGACAAAGCACATTGATATTCGTTATCACTTTATTCGCAGCAAGGTTAACGACGGCACTGTTAAAATCAAATATATGCCAACAGAAGAAATGCCCGCAGACGTCCTTACCAAAGGACTCACTACAGAAAAGCATGTTAATTGCTTACGGAAATTAGGAATGAAATATTAAAGTCATATTTTATACATAATAAAAGCACTTTAAGAGGGGGTGTTGTTATGTAAAGTACTTTTTAAATATTAATTGCCTGGCAACTCTGGCCTGTCATTATTCTATATTCCTTTTGTAATTATTATTCATTATTCATTTTTAGTATAGTTAATAAAGCGAAGTAAAGAACATGTTAAAAATACATCGGACCGTGTTTCACTTTTGCTAAAAATATATAATAATATGCAATCAATTAAATAATATAAATAAATTATTATATTTTTTAAATTAATTTTTTATAAGTCTTATGTGAAATTATTTTTTGTTTGTTTTTTATTTTAATTTTCATTAAAATTAATTTATAATTTTATAATTTATAATAAAATTAATTATAAATAAAATAAATTGAGCTACGAAATATTTAAAAATTGAATTTAACCATTAATTTTAATGCGTTCGAATTTCTTGTCATCAAACAAACGTCAAACAGCTCGCTGTCAAAGTTCTGTCAGTTCTCAGTCGATGCAACATCCGAAGCTAAAAAGTAAAAAGTAGTGCAAATTAGATTAGAATACATAAACACTAATCTAAAATTCAATTAAAAGCGATAATATTGAAAGAGATTTATAAATGGCAACATTAGAAGATAAATTATTAGGCGAGAAACTGCAATATTATTGCAGTAGTAGCGAAGGTGAAGATAATGATGAAGATGATGCTGAAGGTAAAGAATCTTGTAAACAAAGTGCTGGAGCTACTTGCTTAGATCCTGGTGCATGTCCTGAGCCACCAGCAGGAGGCTATCGATCGCATACTTCAACTAATACTGGTCCAAAAGGTGTCGTACAAGATTGGCAACGTTTCAAACAATTGCAAGCTGAAAAACGTGAAGAAAATGAACGACAACGTCTCGAATTAGCAAGAAAATTGGCTGTAACTACAAGTACACCACAAGAAGATGAAAAACGTAAAGAGCAGGATGACATTGATGCAGAATTAGCAGAACTAATGAGCGAAGATTTTTTGCAACAATTCCAAAAGCAACGCATGGTAGAAATGTTAAAGCAATGCGGACACACCAATCAATTCGGTAAAGTGATGCAATTAACCACACACGAAGAGTACTTAGATTGTGTAGAGAAAGAAAACAAACACATCACAGTTATTATACATATATATGATAATGCTGTAAGTGCTTGTGCTACGTTAAATAAATGCTTAGACACATTAGCCACTGAATATCCGTCCATTAAATTTGCTAAAATTGCTAGTTCCGTTGCTGGCATGAGTCGAGATTTTCGCGTGAAAGGCTTACCAGCGTTGTTGGTATACAGAGCACAACTCTTGATTGGCAATTTTGTACGCATTACTGATGATCTCTCCGATGATTTCTTTCCATCCGATGTTGAAAGTTTTTTAATCGAAAACGGCGTTCTAGGATAAAAATTTAATTTAAGTTTTTTTAAGTATACATTATTCATTCAAACGCAAACCTAAACACTCATTTAATATTTAAAATTTTTATTTAATCTATTTAAAATTATAAGTTAAAGAAATGCGATAAACTGGGTAAACCCATATTTTGTGTAACCATAAAATCATATCTTTATATAACATATTAAGTTATTGTGTTGTTTAAATATTATTTGTTTTTTATATTGTTTTTAGAATATTTTTCTTATGTTTAAATAAAAATGAATTACTTAATAATTAAGAACTCCTAAAAAATTATTTGAAATCTCATATATCTCACTCGATTTATTTTTATAACAATTATTACTCTACATTTTTAAAAATGAATTTTCGTAGAATAGATAGATATGTGTTCATCCTTTACAATATACTTTAGCTTGTATATGTCGATATTTCATATACATGATGTAAGCAAGGCAATATTTATATTTAAAAAAATTTTATATGAATATTATATACCCAGTTATACATATAATCTTAAATGTATTACAATTATGAAATTTAAAAAATCATATTAATCTTAACATACTAAATAAATGTAATTTTATTTATCCCCATCTAATTGTTTAAATTTTATTTATCACCTTTAAGTACAAAAAATATTAAAAAAATTGTATGTTCTTGTGAATGGTAAAACGCCAAAGGAAGGAAGCGCCACCTGGCTGTCATAGATAAGCATGGGCGTACCAAGCGCCGAAATTAGGGGGAGGGGAGCTGGTATGGTGATATGATATTATCATATGTAAATAAGTGACATCATAATCTAAATGTGGCTGTTGCTGAAGCCATTTGTTTGATATTCTAAATTTAAAAAAGTTGCTTAAAGGGTCTAATCTTTGTTTGATCATTCTAGCAATATATATATCATATATAATATATGGATTTAAATTCAATTAAACATTTAATACTTACGTTTCCAATTATAAATTTACTGCTTTAAAAATCTTCAGTAAAAAAAATTTTCTAAATTAAGACATTTGTTTTAAAATTAAATTTAATTAATTTATTATTATACGCAATTGTTAAATGCGTATTAAAATATTTACAATTGATTTTGCTAATTATAATAATACATACACAGTTGCTGATAACATTTATATACTTTTATAATAAGTAAAAGATAAAAATATATACAATAGTATATACAATATAATATATATTATATTACTTATAATGTATATATTGACAAAAAAAAACTTAAAATTTGAAGTTATATATAGATATAATTAATACACATACTGTCACAATTTTCAAAAACACCCTGTATTTTGCATTGTTATACATTTTATTTTTACAATGAATTTTTTTCTAATATCCTATGATTTATATAATAATAGCTGAATAAAAATTTAATTAAATTTATTTTTAACTAAATTGGTGTTGTTAGTTCTATTAAAATTAATTAAATTATTTATTATTATTATTTTAAATATTAAATTTAAAAATGCTTATATAATTACCACACACAACGCGATTTAAATATAGTAAATTTATTTATGAATATATAAATATTATATAGATATTTTTTTATTTATTTTTATAATATGCGTTTATTTAATAATAGTATATTTTTTTGTTTTAAATCGATAGATTTGAAGAGATGTGATTAAATTTTAATTCATGAATATTTTTTTTAAATGACTAACAATTATTTTTATAAATTTAAAAATGTTTGAAATAATAAAAATATTACAATTATTTTTATATTATATAATATTTTATATATGTATACTAGTAAAATTTGAGTGGTTCTTTCTATATACAAAAAATCTTTTTAGTTTAGTTTCGCTTTACCTATTCGTAATCTTATATTTTACGGAATTTTTACTGCAATACTACTTTAAATAAATAATTTCTTAAAATACAATATATAAATTTTTTAATTTTATGACTTAAAATAATATTGCTCAAATACAATGATTGATCAGATTTTTTAAAAATTACTCTGCAGACTAAAAGAAGATGCGTCTAGGGCCGTACATCCAAAATATTTTATGATATAATACATATTTAGGTAATTATTATATATGGTTTTGGATAGTCCTATAGGTGGGTAAGTAATATTTCTTTTTTCTAGTTGAAGACAGATTCTAAATTACATTATTAGATTTATTTATTATTTTTGTTTTTCGAAAAATAAAAGATTGGATTTTCTTTAATAATTAGGTAAAGTTATTAGGAGTAAAAAGCAAACATTGCCGAGAAGCAGAAACTGGTTAATAATTGGGTAAAGTCATTGAGAGTATTTGTTTTATATCATCTGATGTCTAGGTCCATTTACAGTCCCTTAATAATAGGGATCCTTAAATTTAATTATTATTTTTTTTTTTTGAATGGTAAAGTGTTAATACATAATCCGATCAATCATCGTTGTTGACATATATTATTTCTATTATTTATTGTAGACACCTAATAAAAATTGTATATTTCTTACATTTTGCTTTTTAAATAAATGCAATAGAGAATATATTTATTCATTCTTTATTAAATACTTTTATTTTCTATACATTGAAAATATAAGTTTTAACAAAAAGTTTTCATCACTGAAGTTCGAAAAGTGTTGGAGAAAATTTATTCGAGAATTTATTTTAAAAATAAATAAATTAATAACAAATATTGAAATAATATCTGAAGGTATGTATATTTGCATGTAGTCCGGAATTAATTTATTAGAATTAATATAAAATATTAATACTACTTCTCAATAATAAAAAAAAAAACTCTATGTGTAGACAGACTATTATCCTATAATTTAGATATCATAACATAAATATGTTGTGGAAAATACCAAAAATAAGGAAACAAAAGTAATGTTAGTGTAATTAATAATAATATAAAATTAATTAATTAATTAATAATATAAAATATATAAAGTTAGAGAGCAGACAAATTTAAAAAGAAAATCATATTTGGAGTGGTACATCAGGTTTGTGAATCGTGTTAAAACCGCTTTCAAAATTGGTTGGAATATGAATAATAAACTTTAAAGTAAATGAGAATTATAATTTTAAAAATTAATTTTATTATTCTGCCGCTGTTTTAAATTTCGTTTATTGCTAAATGCGTTTTCATCATTAATACAATTGTATAAAATTGATTCACATTCTGTGTTTAATGGGTATGACTCTAAATAAGCATTTATCATTATAAAATAATGATAATTTATATAATCTGATTATATACATTATTATAATTAAATAAAATTATTGTATGTTGAAACTTATTGTAAGTTACTTTATTAAGTAGTGTTCGCTCATAGCCATGTAGTTCACTTTAAAGAACTAGATAAATTTAAACAAAATGTTTTTTATTCTAATGAAAACGTATTGTGAAATGGTCTTTTGCATAGTGTATGATAGTGCACTCAATGACGAGAGTATATTAAGCAATGAAGGTCTAAAGATCTACATTTTTAAGTAAAATCTGTTAAATTGTAAATTATTTGATCTATAAATATTTTTTCAGGAAATGAAGAATATTTCCTAAGACCACTGATGAGGTAATACTCGACACAGATGTATCATAATCATCAATTTCTGTATCTCCCATTGGACACGTCTCCTAGGGCCAGACACAGTAGTATGATCAGCAAAAAATATTATATATAAAATTTGTATCGTTAAAATCCATTACGGTTTGAAATGTTCTATTTGAAATTAGTATCTATAGTCATAAGTCATATTTGATATAAAAACATTTGATCTATATAAATTTAATGTTTTTAATTAAACAATTTAAGTCATTAATGATTTATTGTGATTTAAAGTTTTAAGGTCCCATATGTCTGTCTCCACATCTCTATCTTTTTGTTTTATCGTGATATAAAGAGTTCAAGGTCCCATATGTCTGTCTCCACATCTCTTTATTTTATAAGTCTATATCTTATATGTAATTTGGTGTTTTTTACTGCTTTAGCAATATAAAAATATCTAAGTCAAGTTTATACAAAAGAAATGTTTTGAAACGGGATGTAAATAGTAAAAATAAATATTATATATTTAAAGGAATGTGTCTTAGTGTATTAATGATTTACTTTCCGACTTCAGTGAAAACTTTTTAAAAGTTTGATTTGATTTTCATGATAAATTAGAGTATGAATTAATTATACTAGAAATATCATGGCTTTATAATATTTTTTTAAATGTTATAAAATTGTGTGCAGTAATATCTTTAAATCTTATAATTACTTTGAGTATAAACAGAAATTTACAAATATATACTTTAGTATCTATATCTATTTATATGTTTTATATATATATATATTTTTTGTTTATATTTAAGATTAAATTATAAAATAGGTTCTAATAAAAATTTGGCAATCAATAATTGTAAATCCAAAATACAATTGTTAAATACAAAAATATTTATAATAATTTTAACTAAAAAAAATCAGCCTTTTTGTAAAGTTTTTATAAATATTTGAATATTTAAATATAAAATGGATATTAAACATTTACAATGGAACTTATATGATTATTTAATATTAAAAATTTTTGAATGAAGAGAATATGAATTATTAATCATTAAATAATTATTATTTTCAAATAAATTCATTATCAAAAAGTCAAATGCTGAACTTAGTAAATTTTTTTTGTATTTATTTAAATGCAATAATTTTAGAGCTTGAATAAATTTCAATCATTATATATATATATATATAAATAAAATACATATTATATATTCACATAATGTCACTAAATATAAGATATTTTATCTATTCATTTTTATCTCATACTCTTGGTGCTTTAAATGTTATTGTTGTACCACCCTCGTATGGAAACGTTGGTGTTAAAATATTATTTTGCATAGCAACGATATTGTTACAACACTCTGCAATCGAATTGCGTACTGATGAGACGGCATTGTTTCCATTACTGCCTCCACTCGAGTTGCTACCAATTTGTTTTTCTCTATTTCGACGTAACGAGGAACGCAAAGGATACTGGCGTGGTACGTTCACGCCGATTAGACGTCTCGGCGGACATTGTACCGATTCGGCACTGTTACTCAAACGGATGTTGCCAACTAAAATAATAATTTTGCAAGTTTGTTGTGGGTAACGTTGTTGGGAGTTGGTCGATTGGTTCATTGGTTGATAGATTGGTTGTTTATT